ATGACCCCAAACGGGCTGTGGTGAATCGAGCCCCGCCACTGACCACGACAAGTGGCAGGATTTTGTATATTGTCAACCGACTTCAAAAAAGGTCCAGGTTTTCCATTCGACTGTATTTTTTTATGTTTGTTACCGCAGAAATTTCAACTGAGTGAACCAATTTTGATGATTCTTTTTTTATTTAGGAGCCGTGATAGCTCAGTGTCCGGGCGCTCGCCTTTATTTCAATATACTCGAGCAACCTGAGTTCGATCCCCGGTGCGGGCACCAATGAAGTTTTTAACTTTAAGTGCTGACTTATCACGCGCTCCGCGGTGAAGGAGAACATCGTGAGGAAACCTGCATATTTTCGAAATAATAACAAAAAAAATATATTTTTCGAAGATATGTGAAGTCCGCCAATCCGCAGTGGGGCCGCGTGGTGGACTATGCCCTGATACCCTCTGTATAGAAGAGGCCTTTGCCCAGCAGTGGGACATGTATAGGCTGTTACTTTACTTTTTTTTTTATTTGAAAGCTGGTGCTGCCATGTTGTCCCATATTAATTTCATTGGGCTCCGGAGACACGAAGGGAACTCCTGAAAATCAATTATAAAATGCTTACAGAGCGAGATATTTGAAGTCGGTTTTTTTGTTAATAAAAAAAAATTACGAGTGATAGTATCATTATGATTAGATTTGCTAGAAACTAGTTTATTATCATCATTAGTTAAAGTTGACATTTATCGGAACTATTTCACTTGCATAACTTTTAACTTAGTTTTTGATTAGAAATTTAGTGGTATTCGCTATTGAATATAATTGCATCTTTGAGAATAATTCTAGTGGCATGAAGTTTTTAGGTATACGACCTTGGATAACTTTCAATTTAATAATTTCTATTTCTATTTTCCAATGCCTTCCGATAGACAAGAATCTCGGTGAGTTCATTAAATGATAAATTGATGTGTTTTTCACGTCATTACGCACTTAATCACAGCATGCTATTAAATAAGGCCGTATTATTTTGGGAATATACCCCTGTGAAAATATTCAGACACTACACCTTCATGTTTTCATCAACTTAATGAATTAAATGGTATGACTTAATTTCCGAATAAAACTAGGACACACTACACAGTTTGGACCTGTCTATTTATATTTCCCTAAAGAATATGCTGTCGCCGGCTAATCTAAGGTAGGTTTGTTTGACGGTCGTAGACAAATGGCTTAAAAGGCTTAAATAGTTTCATTAATAATGGTGACATTATTAGGGTATATAAGCCATTTGTATAAAATAACCTTTACCTGGCTAAAGGTTATTTTTAATACTGTTTTCATACTAAGCGTTATTTTACTTAATTTCTTCATAATTCTTTTTTTAGTATTTTTTACGAAATTATATATTTTTTTTGTTTCTTCTAGTGGTTTTTATATTATGTTAGAAACATTTCATGTAATGTCATTTTTTGATTTGGCAACTTACTTTTGAGAACATTATTTTAAATTTTACTCAATTAGATTTCGTTTTATGGATTGCGTGGTAACTCTCTATTAGGAGTTGATTATTTAAGAACCTTGAATCGATCTCCAGACAATAAATAGGTATTTTTTTCAGCTGGGCTTTATTCATTATTTAAGTGAAATATACCACTGCGATGGTTCTAATTGGCATAATACATCGACCGACAGACTTAATTCATGTGAAAATAAAGGCCCATTTACACGGTGCAAGTTTCTTGCCTGTTGTATACAATTAAATTGAAGCAATAAATGAGTTGCATGGTCTAAACAACAAATAGTCTAAACAATTATTGCGCGCAATTTATTGCATTCAATTATTGCTCTTGTATGTTCAAGAAAATGGCATCGTGTAAATGGGCCTTAACTTAGCACACCCACGGAGAAAATGGAACGTAAAGAGGGCGTTTATTATTAAACCGTTAGTGCCTCTATGTACAATGACTGAGTTTATGCTAAACTTTGAACGTGAAAGATATTGTAATACCAATAACTTGTTTATTTATTAATTGCGATACAATTGCAATTTAAAATTCAAGATTTGAAATAATGTGATGCTCTTTTTCATAATGTTTTTTTATATAAGTATTCTGGATTGATCAGGGGAGACTGAAGAGAGAAATTTAAACGGAACAACTAGAAATTTCAACAATAGTTGATTCCTGATATTAGATTATTTACGAAAGTTAGATTAATGAAAAAATCTCAATGCCACTCAATGCCAATAGAAAGAATTTAATTCAGTTAAACTTATACATTAACACCGACACTGAGAACTCAAATACATTTGAAGAATCTCGTGCCATAGTGGTATTTAATGCAGAAGGCGTATAATTTGCTATATCTCTATGGATAAGTGATTAACAAAGAAGATAACAACTCAAAGGGATTTCGTGTCTATGGTGGTTTGAGGTGCGGATTAAAGAAGTCTTGCGTTGATGATGCAGCATCAGTCATGGCATCTGGAATTACAAATACGAATACCGAAGTTACACGCTCCGAAATATTTTACGAAGACGCACTAGAAACGACACATTTAATAGCACGAATATTGTCTCCGCAACTGTGTTTAAAGGTTTCTTTACGAGTTTCGTTAATTAAATTTGCCAGAGTATATGCCTATCTATCGATATTCATTATTTAGTAAGGAATAATTGAAAAGGGGAGAATGCATAATAAACGCCACTGTATCCGTTTGGAAAAATCTAGATGGCTTCTAGTCTAATAATCAGATATTTCATCAGTCAGTCATTTAAGATTCGATGAAATGACAAGCCTCTTCTTTATCCGTTTATATAATACAAGAGGTGGCTGCTGTTTCATTCTTTACAGACCTCAAGTTAACGAACTCGCAGGAAATGTGGCGATTTATGTGAAAGTTACTTACACCTGAGAAAGCCTTAAAGCGATTTGTGCACGAAACTGGAATTAGACCTGATTATTTTCAATAGCGACTCGAGCTGTTAGGCCACCATTGCCGCAAAAACGATATTAGTTAAACGTATGACGTATAGGTCGGCAAATATCGCATAGAGCACAGGCCCGCCGTGAGCCATGACCGGTACTAGAAAGGGGAAATCGATATGTGGCCCGTCCTAGGACCGCGGACTGCGGCGAAGTTACGTCACCAAAAGAGACGAATGTCGCCATGGCACTTAAATGCGTCGTAGTATGAGAATGAAGCGTCGTAAATGAGAACATTTTCGGCAGCCAACATACCGCAACTTTCCAGCGAACTCGAGAAATCGAGACCCAAATTGTTCCATTAAAGCGAATAAACTACACTAACCGCAAATTGTATATGATTGTTTTTAAATGTTATCTTTCATGAAAAATGTATAAGTAATTTAAAATGTAAACATTTATAAATATGTGTCGCCTTCCTTTAACATGAATCCTTGGTAAAGAAACAACAACATATTGATAGACTGGGTCAAAGACGAGAAAATACTCTTAGTTCGAAGGGAATTTGCTTCGCAGAATGGCGGAATCATTTCCGTGAATGAGCCCAAATCAAACGCTTTGCAACGATACAATTAATTCATTTTATGGTGGAGATAATATAAGCATATTATCTCAAACTTAACGTTCAACGGTGCAAAGAACGGGACCTGTAAATTAAGATAGTGGGACCTTTCTCAACATTGAGATAAGACTCGTATGCAGTTGCTTTATTAAGACAACACAATAATACCATAACATTCGTAGATAACCGTTGTGGTTCGTAATTTTCTCATTATCACTTTCAGCTATGACAATCTTAATTTAGTAAAATTCCCAAGAAACATGCCATGATTGAAATAGAACCATGGTAGATAGATATATGATATAGATTGATACAAGAAATACAGTTCCAGAAGGTGTACATTAGACTGAATAACCTGACAACATTAGTAGGTAGTTGTGTGCAAGTTAGTTCCTCTTCCATAATGACAATATGATAAGGCATAAATCACTACTAGTCCATTCGAATATCTGCTAGCCACAACAATGTATGCTGGCCTTAATCTGTTCGAACTTGGTTTTCAAACATAGAAAGCATATGCGACGGGAATCGTTAAATTTTATCGCTCCTCCATTCTACATTTAAATTTTATTACCGTAGATGTTTACTACATCGACGTTAAAATTAAAGTAATGCGTATTCTCAGTTTTAATGCGCTTAAGGAACCGAAATGTGCTTTGGACTAGATTAAAGTGAGTTTTACTAACCTTTGTTCTTTGTTAGTTCTTTTCCGTTGAAAGACAAAAACGCGTGTACTCGTAGATACACAATAACGTTTTTAAATTAACAGTTTCTCACATAAACACTACTTAGTAGTTTTATATTATATTCTAATAGTGTGATGGCTTCGAATTAAATTTTCCGTCAACCTGTTAAGGAAATACACAATATTAAGATCGTATTCAAACTGTATGCAACAAATTAAACAACGATTTAATAACCGTCGAACAAAATGTATAAATATCTTAGTATCCCGTTACATTCTGCAACTTGTAAAGTTCAAGTATTCCAGATGTACGTCAATAAAAAAACGAGTACTGGTATTTCAAGGAAACCTTTGGTCAATTCACAAAGGAGTATTTATTAAAAATAGGAATTCTCTTTCTTCTTGCCTCATGAGTTGCTAGACGAGCAGGTGTTCGTGACTGGAGGTCGTCGCGCGTGGGACTTGCTGGTCGTGTCCATATTGGGAATCTGACTCATTCATTGGATACGTTAATACATTTTCGAATCATATTCAATAAAGAAATGCTTACTAGTACTTTCGTGTCTACGTGCATTTGTATTTTATTGAACATTATTTGACCTATATCAGAAGCGTTTCTGGTGAATAACTTATCAACATCTGAACACCTTTTCTAAAAAGCTTTCATGATTTGTATCAAGATATCTGTTCACATATTCTATCATCATCGCGAAGCCTAATCAACAGCCCAATGCAGGGTAACAGTGATATCTCATTAAAACTTTTCTAATTTAAGTTGTCGAATTTTAGGCGCTTTCCGAAGCATCGGAGAGAAGACCGCGTCTCTCTTCGAGCGTAAGAAGAAGGATGCGGAGCAGCTCGCTGCGGAGAAAGCTGAGGAGGCTGCCCACGTGGTGGAAGAGCAGGCCAAGAAGGCGGGGGAGCTGATCGGCGGAGCCCAGCAAACCGCCAACCAAGCAGCTGACACAGGTTTGTCGAGACAATCAATTTTCTCACTTATACAGGGTGGCTTTTTTAAGTGTCCAAATCCATCTTTTTATATTAAATTCTAGACATAAATAATATTGCTTATATAAAAAACGATGACTATTTAATTTATTTAATGCATTCATTTGAACATATCTTAAAAAGTGCGTGATTTATGGGCAACTCATTTTACGCGCGATCGTTCATATCGAACATGCACACAAATTCGTTTCATAGGTATACGCATTTGTGAATGACTACCGCATTGTCAACAAATTCTGTTTTCTAAAGAATGGAATGGCAATTTTTTTGAAAAAAAAAGTTTGTTTTTATTTCAATAAACGATTATACTACCAAGACTGAACCTCCTGTGTGAATTTGGGCACCTTTAAAAAAGCCACCCTGTATAATTAAAATTCAGTATAATTCAGTAATATTTGCTATAGTAAAAGAAAGCGTGTGTGTAACATTATTAATTATTTTGAATTTTGTTGTGGGACATGAATAAAATATGTTGATTTGATGCAAAGTGCAAATGTTTATTCGAAAGAATAACGCTTCAAAGATAATTTAAAAATACGTGTAGAAAGACAAAAGAAAAGGAAAGCTGGCTTAGCAAGGGCTCTGAAATAAATAAAGTATAAAAACAACGATCGCATTTTCAGAAAATCCGAAGTCAATAATAAAACATCAACGTATAGGTTTTCATTTAAAAAAATGTTTTAAACTTCGAAATAATTATAATAATATTCAAAAATGATATTGCTGTTATTAACCCTACCCAATTTAAATAAATTTGATTGTGTTGAACTTCTCAAGGTTAAATTTGTCCACCATTTTGTAAAGATGGAATCCGTTCATAATGGCGAAACGCTTGCCTCGGTAAAATGAAACCCGAAATCAAATTTGGAACGCGCCTTTTTTACTTATTAAATTTGATAGGGACCAGTGATCAAATACGGGTCTAACTGCCCCAGGATCGGAACGCAAATATTTCGCGCCATCGAAACGGGTCTGGCAACTGCAGCGAAAAAAAAAGCGCCCGCGTCGCAAACCTGACCTGTGTTTAGGCGTACCACAGTGTTAGAGTTAATACGAAAGGTTTGAAACTGCAAAATTGTGTTTTTTTAAATTTTATAGTATTACTTCTAGGAGATTTCAATTGGAATATAAATCATATTTTATTAATATTATTTTTAATTCGTTTAAATAAAAAGTAACTTGGTACGTGATGTAGGGTCGGTCAGGAGGCCTTTCGTATAGATACATCGTTTTATATCATTTCTGATACCTAGAGAGGAGCCGTGATGCCTCAGTGTCTAGCCTTTAATTCAATTTACTCGAGCTCGCAGCAGCCTCGGCTGTTGCACGAATGGACAGGCTCGTCCGGGTAAGTACCACGACCTCACAGAAGACCGGCGTAAAGTGGAAGTATAATACTTTCGCGTTTCGTCTGGTGAGTGAGTAGGCCGGAGCCCAATTTTCAAAAGGTTGTCAACGCATCTGGAACTCTCGGGTGTAGCAGATGGACGGCGGTATTCACTTAACATCAGGTGAACCGTCTGCTCGCTTGGCAACATTTCACATAAAAAAAAATCAGTCAGGTGACTTTTTTATAATCTCTGAAAACAATGGCTACAAAGAGTAAACAGTATTATTTTATGAATAGAGAAAATTATGCTGTATTATATATTATAAAGTAGAAATAGTAAAAAGTAATAGCCCAAATATGTCCCACTGCTGGGCAATGGCTTCTACTAATCATTAAACAGAGTGTGTTCATTGTGAGCATAGTGCACCATTGTGGATTGTGGCGGACTTGACATATCTTAGAAATATATTTTTTTTTATTATTATTTCGAAAATATGCAGAATACACAGGTGTGGTTCCTGGCAGTGCCGAATAAAACTTCCGACAGTTTATCTATTAAACTCGCATTTAACTTTGCCCGGAATGTCGCTTAATACTTTGTTGTTCTCAGTGCATCAACTCATGCATTGAGACGTTACGTATACGCAATGACAAAAATATACTTCTTTTTCTTTCTCCTGCCCTCTTCCTACCTACGGGCTTGTACAACATGAATAATTATTAATACTATTGGCCAGGTTTTTTTTTTACCGACCGCCTGCCTGCCGTCAACTCTCTTTGGGAAGGAACAACCAGATACGGAGAAGTTATCCTGGGTCCCACACTGCTAAAATAATAAAAATCCTGGTTATTTTTAATACTTTCTGTAGCTATGCCAACGCCATGTCAAACTAAACGTTATCTCGGCACACGCTTACGTTATCTACACGATTATCTATTGAACTTAATATTTTTAGCCACTACTCACTACTGTTTACCAGAGAACGGATTGCTACGTATTGCTAAATTCGAGAATTACGTCCCTCCGTGTGTGCGTGAAAAGGAATGTCTTTCTTTGGTTCCTTTTTTAACCTCGGTAAGGTTATATTGAGTTTAATTTTTTTAAATACTTTGTGGTGGCCCCTGAATTTGTTTTTATTTACACTTCAGTCAATTGGAGCTTAATGTAATTTTTTTTCTCGTCAACTGAAGATTCAAATCTCTCAGTCTGGAGCCCTAAACTACAAACTCAACATATATATGCTTTGGCTGTAGTATTTTTTTATAGTAGAAGTCTAAACGTTGCAAGCTAGCAGTCTTTTATTTAGGGAATAAGAAAAGGATGGTAACCTAATTTCTCTCTGATGACTACTAACTATACAAATTAAATTTCTTATATGTAATGTAACTTCCAGGTTTTGTGTAAAGCTGTGTCAGGATTTTTTTAGAAGTCAACCGAATGAGTCTCAACTACCAATAGCAGAAAGATAATTTCACATAGTTCAAAAGGAGTTACAATTGGGACAAACGGCATATTATACAACTTTTAACACGAGAACCGCGTATCTGTATTATTTTCCGAATAGTGTTAATAAGTTTAGAAAGACTTCAAGAATTCAGTTCGTTCCATGACACAGTCTGCGGGTGATGAAAATAAAAGACGGTGTGGTGTGTATAGAAAATGTTTGCGATTTTCATTTTAATCTGTTTGACAAGAGCTGCATAGCTCGATCTCCACGGGCTCGCCTTTAATTGTAATACATCCGAGCATCCTGAGTTCGATCCCCGGTGCCGGCAAAGAATTTGTTAATTTTAGGTGCTGTGTTATCACGGTGAAGAAAACATCTTGAGGAAACCCGCATATTTTCGACAAAGAAAGATATTTCGAAGATAGGTTTAGTCCGCCGATCCGCAGTGGGGCCGCGTGGTGGACTTTTCCCTAATACCCTCTGTACAGAGGAGGTCTTTGCCCAGCAGTGGGATGTGTATAAGCTGTAACTTTACCTTTTTTACTTTTAAATCTGTTTCAACAGCCGCCAGCGCGAAGCACTCTGCCATCGATGCCTTGGACAAGGAGCTTTCGAAGGTGTCCCTCGCTGCGGGCGAAGCTGTCGACGCGGCCAACAAAGCTGTCGCCGACGGGAAAAAGGTCGTCGACACAACCAAAGGTATGTCTTCACCGTCCTCCCCATTTTGCAGGTTTTTAACAGCGAAAGGTACTGGTCGTCTCTGCATTATTCAGAACGCTAAAATTCTTTATTATTTTTTATTGACTAGTTCTGTATTGCCGGTGTTATTTTAGTTTTGTCATTTTAGGCGTATTTTGCCTATAGGCTTTTTTTTCCTCCTAAAATAATATTTTTGTTTAGATTTGTTTAATCTTATTTTTTCCGTACGCTTCTTTTATTTTTCTGTTTTTTTTTTTTTTTTTTTTTTTTTTGCACCTTCTAGACACACTCGCCACCACAGTAGACAACACGAAGAAAGCGGCCGAATCCGCTTACAACACGACTAAAGGTGAGTAAATACTTTAAAATTTCTCCCGCTCTTCATCTTCCAGCTTAATTTCCTATTTCGACATCTTGTAGATTCTATCAGTAGTACGGTTGCGGGTACAAAGAATTTGGCACAGACTGCTGTCGATACAAGCAAGTCGTACGTATCGTGCGCTAAAGGTAAGACATTTTGAATATACCTTTGCATGTTTTTAATCTGTGTCGGGTATCTTCCACTTTATTTCTTAAAACTTTTAAGTTTACAATAATCTGCGATATCCATTTTAAATATTTTAGTTTTTCGGACATAATATGTATTGATATAGTTTTATTGTTTTTATCATGATTTTTCTGATGATATAAAGTGATATAGCATCTATTTTGGGTAAATATTGATTTATAGGTTCTTTGTATTTTACAGACGAAATGTTAGGTAGGTAAAATTAAGTCTCGCTTCAAACATTAATTTTCAATAGGTTCTAATTGATAGATTTGGTGAAACGAAACTCTAATTCTCTTGTTTAACGTTCGAAACAAATCTCAGTACTCCGAGCCAAGCATAATTAACCGAGTTGCCACAAAACACTGTTTTTATGTGTTGTTTTGATTATGTCAAATATAAATTATTTGTAAATCTTAAGCCGATATTTGAATTTTGTAGATACCGTAGGGAATGTTGCACAGAGTACTGTAGAGGCCGCGAAGACTGGCACAAGTTCAGCATTTGAAACCGGAAAATCGTACGCAGTGAGCGCCAGAGGTATAAAAGGCTATCATTAGTAAAACAATATATTTCTTGACTGTGCCTACCGGCCGGATTCAATATTCGATCCACAGATAGATTAACCAAATCTATCTTTATCACAGATAGATAGATTTGGTTACTGGGGATAGAATTTTGACGTAAGCATTAATCTAATGGAGGAGCTAATGTCAAATACCTATCGCTAGTAACAAAATCTATCTGTAGATAGAATATTGAAACCGGCAGTAATAGATTCAATTATTTGCACATTGAATGCGCAGGAATCATTCGAAGCACGAAACTATTCTAGTATTATTTAGATTATTGTGTTAACAGTCCGTTATTCTTCTCACAGTTCAACTTCATGAAAATCTGAGTTGCCACAATGAGATGAAGATTTTTTAGTAATTTATTTGTCGCCGTGTTATATTTATCGTTTTTGTTATCTTTCAAACATTTCTTAGTCGAGACTCTTTGTGACGTAATTAATGACATTTTAGATACAGTCGCGAACACAGTTTATAACGTCGCAGATGCGACGCAAAAAACTGCCCAATCTGCTTATGACACTGGGAAATCCTATACCACTAGTGCTAAAGGTACAGTTAAACGACTATAAGCAAGTTAGACATCATTAATATAGAATATTTAGCTCATTCGTACCATTATTTTAGATACAGTCGCAAACACTATTTATAATGCTGCAGACGCGACGCAAAAAACTGCCCAATCTGCTTATGACACTGGGAAGTCCTATACCACTAGTGCTAAAGGTACATTCAAACGAATATTACCAAGTTAGTCATCATTAATTTAGAATGTTTAGCTCATTTGTACCATTATTTTAGATACAGTAGCAAACACAATTTATAACGCCGCAGACACGACACAAAAAACTGCCCAATCTGCTTATGACACTGGGAAATCCTATACCACTAGTGCTAAAGGTACATTCAAATGAATATTACCAAGTCATCATTAATTTAGAATGTTTAGCTCATTTGTACCATTATTTTAGATACAGTGGCTAACACAATTTATAACGCCGCAGACGTGACACAAAAAACTGCCCAATCTGCTTATGACACTGGGAAATCCTATACCACTAGTGCTAAAGGTACAGTCAAATGAATATTATCAAGTTATTCATCATTAATTTAGAATGTTTAGCTGATTTGTACCATTATTTTAGATACAGTCGCAAACACAGCTGCAGACGCGACGCAAAAAACTGCCCAATCTGCTTATGACACTGGGAAATCCTATACCACTAGTGCTAAAGGTACAGTCAAATGAATATTATCAAGTTATTCATCATTAATTTAGAATGTTTAGCTGATTTGTACCATTATTTTAGATACAGTCGCAAACACTATTTATAATGCTGCAGACGCGACGCAAAAAACTGCCCAATCTGCTTATGACACTGGGAAATCCTATACCACTAGTGCTAAAGGTACAGTCAAATGAATATTATCAAGTTATTCATCATTAATTTAGAATGTTTAGCTGATTTGTACCATTATTTTAGATACAGTCGCAAACACTATTTATAATGCTGCAGACGCGACGCAAAAAACTGCCCAATCTGCTTATGACACTGGGAAATCCTATACCGCTAGTGCTAAAGGTACAGTTAAACGATTATTAGCAAATTAGACATAAATAATATAGAATATTTAGCTCATTTGTACCATTATTTTAGATACAGTCGCAAACACAATTTATAACGCTGCAGACGCGACGCAAAAAACTGCCCAATCTGCTTATGACACTGGGAAATCCTATACTACTAGTGCTAAAGGTACATTCAAAAGATTTATCAAATTGGAGATCATTACACTAGAATATTCCTTTTGTTCCATTATTGATTGAATATTGTTCCATTATTTTAGACACAGTCGCGAACACAGTTTATAATGCTGCAGACGCGTCGCAAAAAATGGCTCAATCTGCTTATGAAACTGGAAAATACTATACCACTAGTGCTAAAGGTACAGTCAAACGATCATTACCAAATTAGACATCATTAATTTAGAATACTTAACTCATTTTCCCGTTATTTACGGCCAAATTATAAAAAATGCAAAGTAAAATTAAAAAACTTGTGTTATACATTTAATTTTACTTTATGCCGCTTATATATCAGATATATTAGAAATATGTAACAAAATTGCTAATTTGTTTATTTCCTTTTAAATTAACTTGGGTAATTTGTTTTTGTTGAGTAAGTTGGATTTTATATCAATTTAAACAGTTACGTCATCAAATTGAAGCAAAATATTTAAGTAGTTATTAATAGCAATGGTGCTATTGTAGATACTGTAGCGAGCAACATTGGTGCAGCCGTAGACACGACACACAAAGCCGCTCAATCAGCACTCGATACAACAAAATCTTATGCCGCGAGTGCTCAAGGTATTTCTAGATGCCCGATCTCTAACATCCGTTAAAGTAAATTATGACAAATACTAATTTTTACATAAGAAATGCTACGAACTGGGCCACGATCATGGCCTAATGTTCGTTAAGGTTTTGTCCTGATTTAGTACTCTAACGCCCGGTTTCTATAACACTGATCATCGTAGAAATTAACTAATCAGCTGTCATGTGGCTTTTCAAAAATTCCATTTAAAATTCCATTTTAGTTTCCAAAAGGATGGTTAAACTCTGAATTGATCAGATTGATCATTGAGAAGATCATTCTTAATCGATTTAATAGTTCATAACTAAGAAACGCCACGGATAGGGATTTGGCATACGGGTTATGTAACGAATGCACAAAGTCCGTCGAAGTGAAGTGCCACTTTTAGATAAGAAATGTCATGATGACTAACGAAAAGTATCTGACTATTCGTGATACTCGTTTAGATATTATATTTGACTTTAGATTTGTTTCCCAAAAGGTAAAAGAAGAACTAGTATTTCAATTTGACATTTTAAAATCTATACACACAAAAACTTTTTCTTTGGACTATAAATTATGGTGGTACATTCTACATAAATTGAGTATGTGCTGTGTGTGTGTGCTTTTATTGTTGGTGAATATTACTAAATACAGTGTATTTTAAATAATAATTTTAGATAAAGTAACCAGCGACGTAAATACCGCCGTCGATACAACTCAAAAAACCGCACAGTCCGCTTTTGAGGCAGGAAAATCATATGCCGATAGCACAAAAGGTATTTCATTTATTATTCGCATTCATTCGAATCATTTATAATTTTCATTTGAGCAACATATTGTAATATTTTTTTTATTAGATATATTTCGAATATTTGGCCATAAAATCATGTATATAACGGACTAACAGGAGTAGGATCATGCAACAGTCTTCGCTGTTGCACGAATGGGCAGGGCCGTCCAGGGAAGTACCACTTCACGGTGGACTGCCACCCTACGGGTAAAATGGCAAATGTCCATAAACGGTGGTTATCTTAACATCAAGTGTATTAGGTTTTTTTGTATGTACTTTTAAAAACTCATGCCCGGTTTCTGAAACACTGATCATCGTAAAAGTTAACTAATCAGCTGTCAAATGGCTTTTCAAATGTCATTTGACTTGCCAAAATGATGGTTAAACTATTTCAGTTGATCAGAATCAGAATCATCTTAATGATCAGAATGATCATCCTAATCTAAATGTAATAAAATATAAACAGAAAGTTTCGCCAAAAAAACTATTTTTATGATCATATTGTAGATACCGTAGCGAGCAACATTAGCGCAGACGTTGATACGACACAAAAAACAGCACAGTCTGCTTACGATACAACAAAAACATATGCCGCGGGGGCAAAAGGTATTTCAGGACAATCATCGACATTAATTTAACAATCTTATTCTAAATAATTGCCTGCATATCACTTTTTAAGCCAAGAATAACGTGATTTGACAGAAAACTGAATCATCTACGATGCGCTCGACCCAATTGCCTAATATTTGGCCGCGGAATGTTCAGTTAAATATTTTCTCATGATTATCCAAAAATTTTATTTTTATCATTTCTTTAAACTAAAGAAAAAATATTTGATGGCCAAATAGATTTTTGTTTAAATTCTATGTATTTTCAACGTCGAACACACGGCCTCTAGCGCAAACAGTAACTTTTTAACTGACTTCCAAAAAGGGGGAGGTTTCTCAATTCGACCGTATATATTTTTATTTTTTTTATGTGTGTTCGGGGATAACTTCGTCATTTGTGAACCGAATTTGATGATTCTTTTTTTTGTTGGAAAGGAGATATCCCAAGGGTGGTACCATGATAAGGAAACCCAAATCTGATGATGGCATCCAAGAGAAATCGAGGGCAATTCTCAAATGTGACAAATAGGCGTAGACAATGTTTTATTAGTTTCCTGTTTGAAGTCTGTTTTTTTTGTTGAAAATTATCATCTATAAGTTTAAAAAATAACAATGAAAGATTCAAGTGAAGCTAATAAAAGCGTTTTAATATATATATATATTTTTAGATACAGCAACTGGCGCCGTAAATAGCGCAATCGATAATACGCAAAAATCTGCACAATATGCACTAAAAACTGGCCAGGAATACGCTGTTAGCGCGAAAGGTAATCTAATAGTATATGGAGGTTTATTTTCCTTTTCGTATTCGGAAATTATAATTTACCGAATTCTTCCGATTTAAAACATAGTTTAAATGTATTTTATAACATTTCAAAGCATTCACTTATTTATTGAGTCAATTTATTAGATTTCAGAGAATAAATCCATGCCAAAGTTTCCTAAAATGACCCGTACGTTGTTTAACGCCCATAATTTCGTCGTAATAATATGTCCCGTGCAGCTGACATCATCACATTCTGCGAGGATGCCGTCTCCCAAATTGACCTCCTACACGAATATTTATGATTAAATTTAACGTAGATGATCCAAATACTTTAATTGAATTCGGGCCTATTATGGTAATTTTTCCTTTTCTTAGGTGCCAAATGGCACAGATATTTTTTAAAAGTGGATGTGTCTCTGTCATGTTTGTCAGATTATTACATTTTATGCGTAGATTCGGTAGCAGATACGGTTAGTAACACAGTTGAGGGCACGAAGGGCGCGCTTTCTTCAGTCCTTGACACGTCAAAATCGTGTATCGATAGCGCGAAAGGTATTTTTGATGTTGCCACATAAATTAATTTTTTGTCTATGACGTGCGGCTTGTTTCGTAAATAACTTTTGTATTGAACTCATGTCATTTATAAAACCAATTAATAATGAAAACAAGTGTGTACTTATGCACGCACGTAAGTTATACTTCTTTGACGTAGCAAAAGAAAAATGACTAAAATTTTGTCCTAGTACTTTTAGAATTTTAAATTGTTTATAGTGCTAATCATTGCACTTAAGATTTAACATTCAAATATGTAGAAAAAGTACGAAAAGATTGTCGCCGCTGTGGGAATCGAACCCACGTCTTCGGCATTCGCGGCCTGACGTTTTAACCACTAAGCTAAACGGCTGATTGCCACACCGAAGAAAATCTTAACGTCTTTTTATCTATATTGGTTTTACTTTAAGTACTTTTAGTTTGTGAAAAAGACATTAAATGCAATTGATAACGATTTAATTAAATAACTTTGAGTTATAAATAAATGTCAAAAATGTTATTAATGTTTGCAATGGCAATACCATGAAGTTAGTTGCTTTGCAAAGAACTTCATCATATCGATTTTCGGTTGTCGATGTACCGCGCATCGTAAAAATTTTACTCTCATATTTGTTTCCAAACGCGTCAAAAGAAGTATAACTTCAAAAATATCTATCTAAAAATATTTTTTTGATTTTTCTTTTTAAGTTAATAGAAAAGTTATTAATATTGACACAATTTTCTTTATTTACTCTAATATTTAATTATTAATGATTGCTTTTTTTTGTATACATAACTTTCATGACACTAGATGCATCGCATTCGCAAGTAACAACGCAAAACGCGCTAAACACTTCCATAGGCTATGTTGATACTGACTGCCAGAGATAAAAAAAGAATAATTGTTTTAATTTGTGTTTGTCTTTTTTTTTCACAAAGCTTATATTCTTTCGCTATCGTTACCGAAATGTTGTGTTTTGCTTTTTTTTTTTGCAGATGTTATATGATTTATGTATATAATAATTTTTAGATACCGTAGCCAGTACTGTAGATACAAGTAAAAAAGCAGCACAAAGCACTATTGAAACGGGAAAATCTTTCGTGGACTCAACCAAAGGTAATTGTCCCGTAACACAAGTATCTATTTGTAATTGTCTAGTGAAGCTATGAAACGGGTTCGAAACTTGGCTTTGTTTCGTTAGTTGTGTAGAGAATTATATGAAATTTTATTGTCATATTATATGAATAAAATGATATGAATCATTCGCTTCTATTAAACAACTTGACCATACATCGATTAATTCAAAATATCTAGCCAATTATATTTTCATCCACGTAAATACTTATAGCTACATTACAAAGCGCTGTAGACACGACAGAAACCGCCGCCCTGCTCCAGAGCAGGGCAAAGGTTTCGTTGATGATACCAAATGTAGACGCTTAGATCTTTAAAACGTGTGTTTATGTACAGACGTAGAAAGCCATACTTCTTAATAAAAATAAATATGATAAATCCTAATGCATATTGCTGTAAGCTATACTTGATAAAAATGATTCTAAATAAAAATGAAAAACGAACTCTCATCATTTTTTAACCAAACGCGTCCAAAGAAGTGTAACTTGAATACAGCGTGTTTTTTTATTATTAAAAAAAAACAAATGGCATTTTCGTTGATGTCAGACACGGTCGCCAGTATTTGTGTTAATACAATATACACTACTAAAAACACAGCAGTGTCGGTAATTGACACCGGGAAATCCTATTTGGGAAGTGCTAAGGGTAATGCAAAAAGGATAAAATATATTACACACACAAATTTATTTACTCATATGTAGGTTCATTCTATTTATTTGTATTTGTAGACACGGTCGTAGATACAGTCAGCACTACAGTTGATACAACAAAAAATGTTGCTGCTTCCTCCGTAGACAAAGGTGTAGCGTTTGCAGGCAGTGCTAAAGGTGAACTTAGTGCTTGGAACGCTTAGAGCTTTAACGCATATTTAATTTGAATTTACCTTATTTCTCTCTTTGTAGACTCCGTAGTAAACACAGTCAGTAGCACAGTAGATACGACTAAGAATGTGGTCGCTTCTGTAGTAGACAAAGGTGCAACTGTTGTTGGAAGTGCTAAAGGTATTTGCACAAATTATTAGTAATAGTTATACAACACTCATATACTTTATCAACATCTTTTGAATTTCTCTTCTAGACACTGTAGGAAACACAGTAGATACGACCAAAAATGTAGCTGCTTCTGTTGTAAATAAAGGTGGAGCATTAGTTGGAAGTGCTAAAGGTATTTTGACCAATGATTATTAGTTATACAAGTCTCATTTATGTTTTTAACACCGTTTTAATTTCTCTTTAAGACACTGTAGTAAACACAGTCACTAGCACAGTAGATGCGACTAAAAATGTAGCTGCTTCTGTAGTAGATAAAGGTGCCGCTCTTGCTGGAAATGCTAAAGGTATTTGAGAAAAAAATATCAGGTGTACCAACGTTCATTCATTTTATTTACACTTCCTGTATTTTTCTTTTAGACACTGTAGTAAACACAGTCACTAGCACAGTAGATACGACAAAAAATATAGCTGCTTCTGCAGTAGACAAAGGTGCAGTTCTTGCTGGAAATGCTAAAGGTATTTGCAGAAATAATTTAAACGATTTTCAGTTAGTACCAAAATTCATTCACTGAACTTACACTTACTGTATTACTCTTTTAGATACTGTAGTAAACACAGTCACTAGCACAGTAGATACGACAAAGAATGTAGCTGCTTCTGCAGTAGACAAAGGTGCAGCAATTGTTGGAAGTGCTAAAGGTATTTTGCCCGAATGATTGTTAATTATACAACGTGTGATTAAATTATTTACATTTTGTTAACATTTCTTTTAGACACAGTTGTAAACACAGTCAGTGGCACAGTAGATACGGCTAAAAATGTAGTTGCTTCTGCAGTAGACAAAGGTTCAGCTATTGTTGGAACTGCTAAAGGTATCGGTCCAAACGATTATTAATAAATCAATGTGGATTAAAGGTCTTTACATTGTGTTGATATCTCTTTTAGATACAGTTGTAAATACTGCCAGTAGCACAATTGATACGACTAAAAATGTAGCTGCTTCTGCAGTAGACAAAAGTGCAGCTTTTGTTGGAAGTGCTAAAGGTATTTTATCAAATGAATATTAATTTGTAAATGTGTATTCCATTTTTTTTCAATAGCTTTGAGTGGTGTTAATATCTTTTTAAGTTTTATTTTAAACATTTTGTTCATATCTATTTTAGACACAGTAGTAAGCACAATCGGTAGCACAATAAATACGACTAAAAATGTAGCTGCTTCCGCAGTAGATAAAGGTGCAGCCATTGTTGGAAGTGCTCAAGGTATTATAAGTTATTGCGGCTGTTCTCGAAGCTTTATGTGAGCGATCGTTTGGAAAAATCTTTAATAATCATATCATTCACTCTTTAGATACTGTAGCGAGTACAATAGATACAACTAAAAACTATTCGGCAGCCGCGATAGATAAAGGGTTTTCCGTTGTAGGAACTGCCAAAGGTAATTACCGCATGAATAACAAATTGTCTTTTAAAAGCAGTATTTTTTTTTTATAGTTTATAGCACTCTGCACACTAACACAGAGATATGATTTTATGTCTACGAAGTTACTTCGATATTTGTTTAAGGCATAAATGTAGAGGAAAATTGTAAAGGTCCGTTTTAATTTCATTGAGATGTGGCTTCATTCAATACGTTAATGTTGAAACAACACAATATTCGTGTCTTGTCGATTGGTTCCACAGTAAACAGAAGTAAATTAGTTCAATGTACACTTAGCTGTTTGAAAAATTTAGACAAACAAAGACAATTTCGATGTATTTATTCAATATATTTTATAATTAAAATTCTTTGATGTATAGACACTTTTTGTCCAAAGAGACAAAAATAATAAAATTGCTTGATACAACTATTTCCCATAAAAGTATTTAGTGAATATAGAAAAAAATATATAGTAAAATAAAATTTTTATGTATATGTACTTTTTATATATAATTTTGATGTAATTTGTATTCAAACAAATCTATTGTATTGTAGATACATTGTCAAGCACTGTTAATAGCACGGTAGATGCAACGAAGGGTGTGGCTAACACTGTGGTAGACAAAGGATCTTCTCTGTTTGTAGGCGCCAAAGGTATTTTTTATTGTATTATGTGTTTATCATATGTTTTGTGTCGGTCGCATAAATATACACGTTTCCGTTAACTTTATTAAACTTCAAAGCTAATTTTCTGTATAACCTCACTTACCATGGCTTTTTGTAGCCAACATCAAAGGGCATGCGATCCTTTGAAGTTTCTAAGACCCTTGAGCATTCCCATTGTGAATTAATTTTCTGTTAACACTAAATACTGTGTGCTTTGCTAATAATTTGTAGATATGCTAGTATCTTCTGTTTCTGATGCCATTGGCTGTATGACTGAAGACGCTGAACGCATATCCGGGGCTCCTGAAGGTACAGTTTGCTTTTACGTATGCTTTATTTAACATTACACTCAATTCCTTTTTTCTTATCACGAACTGACTTCTACTATACCACTATCCCAACTTGTGCTTCACACTTACCGTCAATTTCAGGTACTTCACCTTGGTAACAAAATTGGTTTCATTGCTGCAGTTATAAGTTATGGTTTATGTTATCCTAATTGAGTATAATTTTTAGATTTCGTTCTGAGCAAGATCGAATCGAAGAATGAAACGAACAGCGAGGCAAAAGAAGAATCTGATATCCAATTTCCTTCCGGTATTCAACAGTAGAACATGATGATTATAACAATTGAAAATAATTTTTGTGTGACTTTAACAGTTTATACAAAGACTAATCTTATACTGATCAAGCGTAAAGTTTTGAATTTTACAAAGCGATAAAGCAGTTCTAAAATCATTATTGTAATGGAATAACGCCGAACGTGTGTTTTCGCCCAATAATCACAGATCTTCAACTGAACAATTCGCTTAGCAATTTGAGTGACGCTTACTAGGATGTTCAGCTTTTGTTTTCGTTTCTCTTGCACGGGCATTGAGGGCGATTCCTCACATTGGAATTTCTTCCGCAGATACAATAAACACGACCGTGGACACGACGAAGAAGGCAGCGGAGGAGGCGCGGGCGCAAGCGCTGAAAGCGGCCGAGGACGCCAAAGAGAAGGCCAGGTTGGCCGCAGAGGCTACTAAAGAAGAAGCTAAGAGGGCTGCCAGTAAGTGAACTGATACGTTGACAATCCCCAAAATTATTATTTGTTTTTCTGTTTCCCACTGGCACGTTTTGGTCAGAGATTGTGATATGCCTTCTCTTTTATTGTATGAATTATAGAAAAGGAATATCAAAATATTCAATGAAATGTTGTTACTTCCGATATTAAGTGCTGCCTCATCTCGCGTGCTCAACTGTGAAGGAAAACCTGCATATTTTCGAAGTAATAACAATATTCCGATTATATGTGAAGTCCACTAATTCGCGGTAGGGTTGCGTGGTGGACATTATTAATAGGCTGTTACTGTACTTGCTGCTAATTACTGTTTTTTTTTACTAACTTTGAAGTTTAATTTTCTATTCGTTTTATACTGATAAAACGTTCGTACACGAGCACTAGTCCAAAAATAATTTAAATGAATTTGTTTTATGCATGCATCTAATTTGACATTCTGTAGTATTTATGTTAATAAAATCGTTTTAAATTATTTGTCGTTGGCCGTGGTCGTTTATATTTGCAACAGTAAGAAGAAGTCTAGTGGCCGAGCATTTCGATCTGATGATGTGACTTTAAACCAAAATTACGTTATGGTACACGCGATGTTTATGGGGTTTTGTTTTTATTTTTGGGCGTGGCACTATCAATCACTGCTCACTATAGTTTAGATTTGGAAACATTTATTTAGGGCTATGTTTGACCTTAATATTTTATCCTTCACGACTTTACAGAATGTGTCTTGAGCTGTGTTTTTAAATTTTGAAATTTTTTGAATGTTTGGTTGGAAACTTGGATTTTGGTTCAAAACTGGGCTCATCAGGCATTTGTTTGTTTTTTATTTAAGTGAGAAGGTGGCAAGCGAGCTGGCCAGTTCACCTGATACTAAGTGACAACCGCCGGCCAAGGACATTTTCAACAGCCGTAGGGTTGTAGAAGCGTTGACATTTGAATAAAGTGGGCAATGGTTACCTCACTCACCAGATGAAATGCAGAAGTATAACTCTTCCACTTCACGCTGGTATTTTGCGAGGTCGTAGTATTTGACCCCGAACAGACCTGCCCATTCGTGCAATAGTAAATACTGTTGTGTGGCTTTACTGTAGTAAAGCCAGTTACTGTAGAAGGCAATAGTGTTTAACCTTAAACCTTTTGTAGTTCTGCTTTATGAATAAGTCGTATCGCGCAGCTTTAACGACCCGACAGAAAGCTTTCGTGACATTCGTAAGTTGGCCGTACCGTTTAAGTTGGAAAAGTTGTAGGGCCGTTGTGAATGACGTTTGGGCACGGCAAAAGCTTTCTCAGCATTCTAAGCCCATACAGTGTAAGTTGGAAAACTTTTCAAACGTATTGCTCGACATCAGGGCTGGGACAAAGCTTTAGTGGCAAGTAGACTAGATTCAAACTCAAACGGTACGGCCGTTTAAGTTTGATAACTTGTCGGGCTTATTTTATGACGTCAGAGCTGGGCCTTAATAAGCTAGCCGTACCAACCGCAATCGCAGACGCGGCGTTGGAGGAGTCCAAGAAGGCGGCGGAGAAAGCGGCCACCGACGCGAGCAACGCCATCAACAGCAAGGTGGACAGCACCCTGAAGAGGGTCGAGGAGGCCGCCGACAAGGGCATCAAAGACGCCGGCCACGTGGTCGACGCGAAGATCAAAGACGCCGACAAATACCTCGGCGAGAAGCGCGAAACGGTGCGTCCGTGAGCTTGACTGTTAACGTTGTGTTTAGGCAACTTGGAGAGGATAAGTCTAGCCGAGAGAACTAGACCCTGGGGGACCCCTTGATAATAAATGTAATCTTTAATCCAATCAATTAGTAGTATTATAACATAGGCCTCAACTAACGAACGAACGAATTTTTAATGTTATTATTAGCAATAACTTAGTAACTCACCTCATTAAGCCGTGATAGCTCAGTGTAAGCCGTGATAGCTCAGTGTCCGGGCGCTCGCCTTTAATTCAATATACTCGAGCACCTGAGTTCGATCCCCGGTGCCGGCACCAATGAAGTTTTTAACTTTAAGTGCTGACTTATCACGTGCTCTGCGGTGAAGGAAAACATCGTGAGGAAACCTGCATATTTTCGAAATAATAACAAAAAAATATATATATTTCGAAAACATGTGAAGTCCGCCAATCCGCAGTGGGGCCGCGTGGTGGACTATGCCCTGATGCCCTCTGTATAGAGGAGGCCTTTGCCCAGCAGTGGGACATGTATAGGCTGTTACTTTAATCTATACTAACTCACCAGACGAAACGCACAGGTATGACACTTCCACTGCACGCCGGTCTTCTGTGAGGCCGTGTTATTTACCCGGCCGGACATGCCCATTCGTGAAACAGATACGAGTGCACCATACGATTCATACGGAACGCGAAAGTATAATAGCCAAAGAACTTCCGGAAGAGCATCCACCTGCTCAGCATAAGCTGATGCGGGGCTCTACCACGTATGAAAAAACCCTTATATTGACACGAGACACTAGACAGGTAAGTTTAGAAAAATGATGACAAAAATATACCTACGGAGTTCCTTTCACCCGTTTCTTCTCCATCAGAGCCTCATTAAGAAACGCTAAGGTTTTAAAAAAATGACTACCGTTTCTTATGTCGATGAATAAATGGTTTTCATTTTTGGTCAGTCAGTTTTCGTTATTAACATTTGTTCCAAAACTTTTCAGCTGGTGACAAGCCTGTCGTCTGCAGTTCAGGACGGTGCCGGAAGCGCGGCTGGTCTCCTCAGCAAGGGCCTCGCCACCTTCCCCAAATAATTCCCATCGTTCGATCAAAAGAAAATTTCAAATTCACCTTGGGAAACTAACAGACTGCACTGTAAATATTGTATCCCATTAAAGTTATGCAAACGTATGTATGTGATATAATCAAGAAATAAAAATTTATTTATAATATTCTTATACAGATATAGGCATTTAATATTTTATAGAACTAGACAAGGTTTCGGAAATATTGCAAACTGTTGGATTTCCCAAATCATTTTCGTGTTTATCTTTTGTTAATTGATAAAAGCCCAATGTGTTTATTATTTGTCATTGCTGGTTGATTTACGGTACATAAAATTAATATACTTATCTATTTATTTTGTTCGTAAGTTTCAATTTGATTCAGCTTGACATGTATATGGTATAATATCAATCTATCTCCTTAAGTCGTTGATGTTGAAAATCTCAATTAATTTCGTGTTTTTATCAAATGTATATAGTGTAAGTTATTTTAAGTTTCATTTTATTAATTTTTATTGCATTTCGAGTGCATTTTGGCTGGCAAATCGTTTGCTATGGCATGCTTGGCTTATACCGTCCGAAAATTGCCTTTTAATAAATAAAAAATGGTTATATTTTATAATACACCTAAACATAAGTAGTACATATAAATTGAGCAAAATGAAAGTATATGCTGCACTGGTTTTGTAAAAAAAAATATTTTCTGATATTACATTTTGGTAATCATTTTCGTAACCATGTGTCACAAGGCTTGTTAAAAAGAAGTTTTTGTGTCACTTTTATTTAAAAATTTCCGTATATATCTGTTAAACTTTTTATTTTATACATATACATATTAAAGTGTCTAAGCTATTCTCAATAAGTGTAGTCATATATGTTTAACGCTATTTTGAAAAATCAATGTCATGATTATTGTTTAATAAACGCATCGTCATCAATATTTTCGTATTATTTTGTCATAGAAATGTAAGAATTATGAAACTATCAATATATCGATATTCAATTAGCATTATATATTAAAACTTTGAAAGTACAACGGTTGAGAGCATGACAGAGATCCGTGTACAGAAAATTTTACAGAAAGATTTGTTAACCTTTCAAATTGATGTAACAACGACGTAGTCAGACAATTGATGTAACAACTTCACAGAGACAATTATTACTTAATAAAATTTGACTATATGATTAATTGACTACTTGTATTTCGTATATTTTGTATGCTCATTGAAATGAATTACCCTACCGAATTCTACGAAGTTAAGGCAGATGATATACGAGGGTTTAATAGTTCACGGTCTAGTCCAGAAATTAAAATAAGTCAGTAATAAAACTTATACAAAATATTCAATTCTTCATAATTTTAGTATACCCATTGACAGTCGTGCAATAAAGACGACTTCAATATCTGTTCAGCCATTTAGTAATTGCGTTTCCATTAATAGTTATTTTCATTGTTGTTAATTTTAATTGAACGTGATAACTTTTATTTTGCGCGTGCACGTCCGATTTCCCTCGTCCGACAACGGTTTGTCCTATGTGGTCCACCTATTTCCAACATATACTTCATTCATCAAACACACCATTTTACATGTTTTTGTTTACATTTACCAGACTGTGGCGAATTACCAGTCTGGTAAATATAAACAAAAACATCTAGCTCATACATTTATTACACCTGGTTTTCAAATCTAAGCTAGTCTCATAAAACGATTCAAGGTCTTCAGAAAAGTCATTCATAATTATATGAAAAACTTGCAGCTGAGGTGTTTTATTAGATACGGAAACAGATGAAAGTCTTATAGTGGCCAATCAGGAGAATAAGCCAGTATACATATTTTCCTGTGCCAGTAACTACCCTACTTCCTATCGATACTATGTAAAAAGAAAGAAAGAAATTTATTTAACATCACAAAAAAAAAAAAACATCCAGGTAAAAAGAAAGTACATTAAGATTATAAACTAATGTTTATAATCTTAATGTACTTTCTTTTTATATCTTTCTTTTTATTATCGGCTATTATTATACATTTATATAATTATATACTACCTGGAGGACCGAGCTTTGATTGTTTTTTTTTTTTGGAAAATCATGTATTTTGGAAATAAAAAATAAAGAAAATGATCTGGTAGAGAAAAAAAAGCAAAAAAAATAAGTGTGTAAATGATCGGTGATGCGAACCGCGGCCGTCTGTTTTGGGGCCGCCCGATTACCGACCGAGCTATTATAACATTTTTTTTTGCGGTGAAATTTACTGTCATAATCTTTTCGCAGAAAATCGCTGGAGCCGTTTCCGAGATTCCGATTATATATATATAATCTATTTGTTAATATATTTGTTTAACGTTAATATTTTTTTATCATTATTGGCAAGTAGCGTTAGACGTGTGTTCATTTATTGTCGCGATGGTAACGACACGCTGTATATACAGCATCCAAACAAAATCCATAACTAAAAAAAATATTTTTCAAAAAAACTAATTAAGTAAAAAAGAAACAAAATTTGTAACACCTATACAACTCGCGCCACAGCGTCGCATTACAAGCCTCTCCTTCTAACATAGAGAAGAGACTAAACATACAGTCTCTTTTAAATTCATTCAACCCATTCATATGCTTTGTGACCTTGAGAAATGAACTTTACGTTATAGTTTTATACGTAAGGGTGTTCTAAAATTCCTTGTTTTGGAAAATTTGATAACTCGATAAATATTGATGTTTATGTGTGTTCATTTATTGTCGCCATTGTAAAGACACGCGATATATATATATATATGTGTGTGTGTGTGTGTGTGTGTGTGTGTGTGTGTGTGTGTGTGTGTGTGTGTGTGTGTGTGTGTGTGTGTGTGTGTGTGTGTGTGTGTGTGTGTGTGTATAACACAATGACAAATTGACCTTAAATGCAGACTAGTACAAATACAAAAAAAATCATCAACTAAGGTTATTATACTTTTGAGTGTGTCATGCTTACTTAGGCATGATTGTGGTTTCAAGTTACTGACCCAAGGCTTACTTTTTTTATGTGAAAAGTTGTCAAACGAGCAGGCGGTTCACCTGATGGTAAATGAATACCGTCGCCCATGGTCATCATCTGCTACACCAGTGGGTTGCAGATACGTTGACAACCTGTTGAAGATTGGGCTCGGCTACCTCACTCACCAGTCGAAAAGCTAAAGTATTTGTTATACTTCCACTTTACGCCGGTCTTCTGTGAGGTCGTAGTCCCGGACGAGCCTTCCCATTCGAGCAGCAGTCGAGGCTGCTGCGTGGCCCTACCACCGTTAACTCAAATATAAGGTATAATCTATAAATTTACTAACGCCAATACTATTATTTACTCGTAACTGGTATCGTTCATCCCTTCTCTAACGCCAAGCTAGGGATGCAGTAGTGACAAAAATATCGATATTTTTGTATATATCGAGTAAATAGTATCACTATATTGGATATAGTCCTAGAAACCTTTGTTCAAAAAAAAAAGGTAAGTCAAAGAATAAATATTTGATATCTACGGACTCTGTGCTGGATTCGAATTTGAAAAAAAATTCGTTTTTGATATTGCACATTTTCTACTGATACTACTTCTTCGACATCCCTATTGCAAGCTTTTTTTCTTTCAGTTCAATTATTTATGGTTGACAGTGACACTGTTAACAGTTGACGACACTGACAGTTGTCTTCTTAATTTTGAGTTTTGAGGATTGTTATGGTATTAATTAAAATGGGCTCAATTGTTAGAGCAGTCTATACTTTCACTAAACATGCAATTATATCAACATCAGTACGCGCTCTTTCAACAACGAGGCCACTAAAGTTAAAACAGCGTAATTAAATTTTATTAAGTTCTTAGTATTTAGTTTTAAAGAAGAACACGATAACATAACCTTATAATATAGATTTACCAGCCCAATTATTGCTAATTGCAATAAAACGTGCCTTTTGCAGTACGAGAACACAAAGAAGGCTCTACGTTGGTAGTGGAAGGTGTTACAGTAGCGTCTCCAAGGTCAGGTTTACTTGTTCGCGCTGAAGATCTCTCTGGATATGAGCCGCCACCAAACAACGGAACCCAGGAAAAACCATGTTACATGTGTGCACTGGGTCTAGATGTAAAACACACTGATGTTCTTATCCTAAGCCAGTTTGTGAGATCAGACGGCTGCATGCTACCTAGACGCATCACTGGATTATGTAGTCGACAGCAGAAAAAGATCGGCAAACTAGTCACAATGGCGCAGAAAGCAGGTATGTATATTAATTGACTTTGCTTTAGTATATGTTAAGGCCTATTGCCATTGAAGTAAATACTAGTAGGATTTTCTGTGGAATGTTATAGAGTAAAATTTTCCAATAGATTCCAGGTGTTTTTAACCTAAGAAAAATTTTATAAGGTAAAGGAAAATCATGATAAAGCCTGTGCCACTAATCTGCACCTTAACCTTCGTTATTTTCACAAAAGAAATCCGCCATTTTACTAATTTGACAAAACTGTCAAAAACTGAACATCTCATCAGAATCATCACCGCTTTCCCCTCAAAATATTTTTTTTGTTGTTATGGAGAAAATAAACAGGTTTCCATACAATGTTTTGGGTAAAGGTAAATAACTTTAACTCCGGCGTAATTCAAATCAAATAAATTTTAAACGATAGAGATAAATCTCTAATGGATTAATCAACAAGCAGAATTCGGCGGTCGCTTATAGTTTTCGAGAAAAAAATATTTAAAACTTGTTTTTTGTACTAAGAAATCCACCATTTTTTTCTTTTGACTTCAAAAGTTCTTTACACAGTTCTGCCAACATGAAAAATATAGGAAGCGGGCGACATCATACACGTATTCCGATTTTTTAAATTTAATGAGTCACAGAACCGACACAGAGCGAATCCGACTCGGATAGATTAGGTTAGAAGGTTTAACCTTCGATGTTAGGTTTTTTTTTTATGACCACCAAGAAATACGAGCTGAATTGACATATTGACAACAAAAAATGGCGGATTTCTATAGTAAAAATCACACTATTTCATTATTTTTTTTTTTAGAAAACTATAAGCGACCGCCAAATTCTGCTTGTCGATAAATTCATAAGTGAGTTTTCTCTATCGTTTAAAATTTATTTGATTTGAATTACGCCGGAGTTAAAGTTATTTAGATTTACCATGTTTTGTTTTGCTGAGCACATGATAAACCATAATTTAAAATGATCAATTTCATTGGTGCAGACACCAGGATTTGAACTTGCATATTTAATTAAAAATGAGTGCCCCGACACTATCCTATCATATCTCTTAGGATAATGGTAATTCAAATAAATTTAGAATTTATACATTAAAAGCAATGGTAACAAGCAGAGGCTTCTAGATTAACTTATCTTTTATAAGGTAATGACATAGGTCTTTAAACTTTTTCTAAGAATGACCCATTTAATATTCTGTTTACTTATCTGTATCCTTATATTATGGCAGTATATTGTCAATTGTTAAATGACTTTGTAGCTTGGTTTTTAAAGGGTTTTATTTAGCTCGACCCGTACGGAATTTGTTTGTTTATTTGGGTCAAAATTAGAAATTGAAATTTAAGCACCTTCCCGTTGTCAGATTGATCTGAAATCCAGAGCTAAGTCAAATAGAGGCATTGGTACACACATTTAATTTAGATGACAATACAATATTGTTTTCAGTGCACATAAAATAAAACCGTTTAACTTTAAAGTTTTTAAACGGTTTTATTCAAGTTCAATTGTGATACATATCGTACTTACAACCTTTCCGCTTCGTGCTCTCGTACGGAACGGACGTCTCTCTAAGACGGAGGGCTCATGCTACCCGAATTAGACGCTACTCGCAACTTCGGTTGCAAATTAAATCTTTGTGCAAGCAGTGCTGCAGTTTAGTGTTAGTGTAGTGTTATGCTCGTAGGCAGGTTCCTGTTCTGTAAGTAGAATTCTATACACACTTCACGCCTCAGAGGCGGCATTGTTTTATTTAATAACTGTGTGCTTGTTGCGATAGGCGACAGCTAGGTACCCACCCTAGCGCACCTAAAGCGCAGGTGAAATAGTTGTTAGTTTTAGGCACACACCTCCCTGCCGCAAGGTGGGGAGGCCTATTTAGAAACTACACGCCGGCGGGGCGCAAGCCCCAAAGGTTAAAGCGCCGTTATGGGTTCCCTCTTTCATTCATTCGCGAACGATGCCCCGAAATCGACTATATCGACTATATCTATATCGACGAAGGCTAAAGTCGACATCCGCACTCAGGGATACCCCGTACATGCAGTACGACGTCTTAGGCACCCTAGAATCCGTGTCCCTATGGACATGGTCATGGTTGAACTTGACTCTACCCCGGAATTTAAGGCCATCTTCAACCTAAAGAGGGTCTGTGGGCTCAGTGACTTAGTCATCGAGCCCCCGCGCAAATCAGGAGTTGTGGCACAGTGCCACAACTGTCAACATTTTGGCCACACGGCCAATAATTGCTTCGGTCACCCTAGGTGCGTCAAATGCACCGGTGACCACGGCACAACCGAGTGCACGAGGCCAAAAGATTGCGCAGATCCACCTGACTGCGTAAACTGTCACGCTATCGGCCACCCGGCTAGTTATAGAGGTCATTTACTACGCACATTAATAACGTTCGTAATAGAGTCCCTGTTCGTCTCCGGTCGGCATTCCGAGCTAATCTTATAGAGGCTGCGCGAAGGCCCCGAAAACTCCCGCGAGAAAATCTCCCGCGAAATCTACGTTGCCCAAACCCGCGCCCGTTAAATACGTTCCCGCGCCCGTACCCGTCACTAACGCCTGGGCGAAACCCCAGGTGGCCGCGCAGGTAGCCACGCCGGTAATCCCGGTCGCCTCACGACCGGACACTAACGCGAACGTAAACAAGCGTCGCCCGCGAAACGTCCTCATCGACCCGGTCGACGAAGAGGACTTAGATACGATGGACCCACCGCCGGGGGTCCCGCCGGATAACACTTCACCCACAGTTAGTGTAACAACAATCACACCAGTTCGCCCTCGCCTCCGAGCACGGCGAGACCCACACAACGCGTACACAAGGTACACCCGCGTTCCGGGGCAGTTTTCACCGCTCCCAGCCACCGATTAGCTAAATGCGCACCCCTACCCATAGCAGAGGGTCCAAACCCGTGGGTTCTGGCTAGCCCACCGGTTCTGCGTCCGATGAAGCTTTAATAGTCTCGAGACTGAAAGCAAAAACATCAGTTAATACAAGAGTACTTACAACCAAAATATATAAAAAATAAAAATATTGCCACTCAGTAATGTGAAAGGAGTTAAAAACAAGAAGAAAAGAACTTTTTTTATGTGAAAAATTGTCAAATTAACAGGCAGTTCACCTAATGTTAAGTGAAGAGTGCCGCCAATGGATATTGATAACTATTTAGGGCTTGTAGATCCATTGACAGTTTTAAAAAAGTGGGCGTTGGACGAGACGCAAAAGTAAAGTGGTACTTCCTAGGACGCCTGCCCATTCGCGCAACACCATAAATTATGGTGTGGCCCTACCGCAGTTAGTAAGTCAAAATGTAAAGTATACAATGTGGGACACACTTGTGAATGTTTCTATTTTCAGGTCTTATGATAAACCTTACACCTTCTAACTGCAACAAAAATCCAAGGAAGAGGAGAGACTACAAAAAGTTCAACACATACTTTGATGAGAAGACAATATTCATGTGGCGGATTCCAAAGCCTACTGATAAGTTCAAGCGTTAATTTTAAAATTAATAATGTGTTTAAATAAATTGTAGATAAGACTTTTTTTTAATTTCATTTACATGTTTAGAGTTCTTTGTCATGATTGGATAATTCATATTTTTATAACCATGGATGGTATATATTCACATACACCTGTGGTCATCACAGCAATACAAATGTCATTAAATAATTTGGTCAACCCCAATATTAAATGGACCAATAGGTTATGTCAATGAAAAGAGTGTTTGATCAATAATATTTTAGTATGAAACCTTTGATGGTAGTAAGCAAATTTTTATTGTGACTGCTTGTCTACATTGTGATGAGATAATGTTGGTGACTGTGATAACACAGATGTGATGAAATAATAGCAGTGGCATTTACAACTTAAATTCAAGGGAAGGGTCAAGTCTGAGGTATACAATAGAGGGGAAAATCAATGAAACACTCATTTGGTTTGTTTTATTTATTTTGAGTTTCGTTGTCTATAAGTGACCAACACATACTGTGAATGCTGCCAGGCATCTGTACAATTAAACTTTTAATTGCTACGTTTATTATAATTAACGGTATTATGTGAGCAAAATCTCTGGATGAAAGGAAAGTAATTATATGGAAAAATATTTGAGATGTGGTATGCTTTTATAAAACATAATGACACAATTGCACTCTTCCGTGATAATAATTTACAAAGAATCATGTGCAAACAAGTATTGCATTTTAAAGCGCTTACAAGTAACTTACATCGACCAAAATGCTTAATTGAACTTCAATTAAAATTGTTTTTTTTTTTAAGTTAAATAAGTATTATTGTATAACCTAGAAAGTAGCTAGTTAACATATTCCCTTTTCGTGTACATCATTAGCACAGTCTAATATTCAACCTCATAGAATCAATTGTTTTTTTTTGGTTAATCATCACAGTTCACAACCTTTCATAAAGATATAAGTAGCCGAGTTCCTTGGGAGGATTTTCTGAGAGAGCAACCTGTAACAAAGTAAAACAGTTGGCCTCATTTAAAATAAACTAACAGTTGAAACATAATGGTAAGAGATTTGTTTCCTTTAATATTTAAACATTTTAAAAGTAAGATAATAGTGGAGAACAATAGCTAAATAATATGATAAAGCAGGGTGATCATTGGAAATCAGATAAACACAATCAAAATATTAAAATGATGAATTGCATCACTATAAGTATTAATTTACACAGGAGGTTCAGACTTGGTAGTATAATCGTTTATTGAAATAAAAAACAAATTTTTTTCCAAAAAAAAATGCCATTCTATTCCTTAAAAAACAGAACGTGTTGACAATGCGGTAGTCATTCATAAATACCTAAATTTTACTTGTTATGAATGATCGAGCGTAAAATAAATGAGTTGCGTATACTTAAATCACGCCACTTTTTGAGATAAGTACAAATGAATGTAATTAATTACTTACGAGTGATTTTAAATATTTATCATATATTATATAACATTATTTACGTCTAGAATTTAATTAAAAAAATGGATACACTTAGAAAAGCCATGCATGTACATATTAAATTAAAAAAAAAAAAACATATAAACTAAGAATACAAAATGTGATATATTTGTAAAGGATTTATTTGGTTAATAAGCTAATAATGACATGTGGATAGGAAGTATATGTTACCTTATTGTCGTTAAATATGACCCAGCGTCCTTCGTGGAGAACGTGACACACATAATGCCCCACCATCGTCGACGTTCCCATATGCGATATGAACGCCACCAATTTGTACTCTACAAAACAGTTATATTTAAGATTGTATTCCATCATAGCAAAGTTTTATTAGGTACTCTGTACAATTTCATACAATTTTAATTCAGGCATGCGTTGTTAATACGAATATTTTTTTTTATGTGACAAGTTGCTATACGAGCAGACGGTTCACCTGATGTTAAGTGAATACCGCCGCCCATAGACATCTGCTACACCCGAGGGTTTGCAGAAGCGTTGACAACCTTTTTGGAAATTAGGCTCCGGCTACCTCACTCACCAAACGAAACGCGAAAGTATTTATCATACATCCACTTTAAGCCGGTCTCCTGTGAGGTCGTGGTACTTACCCGGACGAGCCTGCCCATGCAACAGCCAAGGCTGTTGCGTGGCTCTACCACTGTTAAAATATATACATCTATAGAATATAGAAAAAGATGAATGAAGATTTCTTTGGGTCATATTTGTGTATGTAATTTGCCTCTATGACACAGTGATATATCTCAATGGATTTAAAAACGTTCAATATTAGGTGCTTTTTATGTGCCAGCATCTAAAATTAGATGCAAAAAAATTTTTGATTAAAGATCAAATTGTTCGTAAATAATACGTCTGGCAGAAAATCATGCTAGCAGTACCGTTTACGCTTGCCACCGTATGACATAAAAAAAATTAAAAATGCAAAGGTTTTTTGCATATATGGAATGCACAAGCATGTACGTTGGTAGAAGAATGTCAATATTTTTAGGTCCTAGTGACCACGTTGTCAAAAAAAGGGTATGTCAAGTATAAAATATTTGATATCTGCGGACTCCGTGCCTGATTCGAATTTGAATAACCATTTTTTTTACAACGAAACTACGAAACGAAAAACAAAACTAAGTTCAAATATCTCGGCTCTGTATTCATTTTATAATTGATTTTCAGGAGTCCCTAAGTATCTACATCCATTCAATACCAATGAAATTAATATGGAACCACACATTAAGCACCAGCTTTCAAATAAAAACAGAATCATCAAAATCGCGGTTCATTCGGTCGAAAGTCTTGAGGTAACAAACATAAAGAAAAAATACATACGAATTGACAGCCTCCTCTTTTGAAGTCGGTTAAAAATATCACTTTCGATACAATTATCGACATTGAATATTGTATCGACATAATATCCGCTGAAAATATCGACACATCGATATTGTATCGACATAATATCCGCTGAAAATACCGACACATCGATATTGTATCGACATAATATCGATACATCGATACTTCTCCTGCGTCCCCGTCCGTGGCGTACGGCGGCGGCGGCACTCACTCTCGGGCCCGTCGCGGCAGCCGAGCATGCGGTCCTCCCTGCGCGGCGGCGCCTCCTCGGCGTCGAGCTGGTCGGCGCGGCTGAAGATCCAGTCGAGGGCGCGGCCCACGTCGCCGCCCGTCTCGCGCAGCGCGCGCTCCGCCTGCGGCCGGCTGAAGCCCATGCCCACGACGCTCTGCACGCTCGCCTCGTCCACGGGCGCCGCCGCGCCACCTGCCGGCGTTTAATTATAAATTCCTCATGTGTAACGCCCGGTTTTTGGAACTTTTCCAATGGTTAAACTATCTGAATTAATCATTTCGATCATTTCGATCATTCTGGTCAATGCAGAGAGTTTAACCATCCTTTTGACGGCTCAAATGATATAGTGGATCTCAATTAAATTATCAAAGACTTATGTTCATGGCACAATTATCACATACAATATTTATACCTGTTATAACTTAATTGATGTTTTAGATGCCAAAGCCTAAAACGATTAAATTTCCTCTGTTTTAGATTACTACTTAATAGTAGCCTGCTAAAATATCTAAAACAGAGGAAACACATCTTTTCATTTAGATTCGCAACTGGCTCGCCACTTCTATCGACGTAACGAAACTTATTCGGAAACACACAAAATAGTTACTTTGCCAGAGCACAAAAATTTTTCATAATAATTACTTTCAATTTAATTCAAAACTACAGACGAAAGTATAGTTTAAAACATTAATTGTCTTTTATAATTTTAACACGTAACTGTAATATGTTTAATATTCACCCTACCATTTTATTGGGTGACAGTAAATACTACAACGGATATCGATGCGATTATTTTTAACTGGATAGAGAGATTCGGGAGGAAGGTTCGATGTATAATGCATTGCACCCGTGCGAAGCCAGGGCGGGTCGCTAGTAATATACAGCGTGTCGTTACAACCGCGACAATAAATGAACACACGTCTAACGCTACTTGCCAATAATCATTAAATAATAAAAAATTTAAAAAATAATATAATAAATAAAAAATAATTTTCAAACAAATTAATTAAGTGAAAAGAAACAAAATTTGTAACATTCTATACAGCTACAGCTGACTGATTCATACATTCAGAGACTTTTTCATTCGTTGCCACAGCATCGCGTTACAAGTCTCTCCATCTAACGGTATGTTTTATCTCTTTTAAATTCATTCAACCCATTCTATATGCTTTGTGACCTTACAAATGAACTTTACGTTACAGTTTTATATGTAAGGGTGCTCTAAAATTGTCAGTCAATATTGATGTTTAAAGAATGTAAATGTTTAATACACTTTTTAAAAGTTATCCTCTATATGTGTGTACATTTATTGCCGTGGTGGTAACGGCACGCTGTATAAATGGTACACTATTGACACTGATAACTATGAGTATAATGACGTAGCCCACCTGTGGGCCGAGTGCCGGGAGGCTCGAATTTGTTGGCAAAGTCCCAATCCGTCATGTGCTCCATCAGCCAGTTGGAGGCCGCCTCCATGCCCGAGTTGTTCGTGAAGTACAGCGCCCTCTTGCATGCCTCCACGGGGAATCCCATGTCCAGCTGCGGAATTATAATACGATCACCTAGCATTACCTAATCCATACTCCCCAAGTAAGGAAACTAGCACGGCACTATAAACATGGCCGCTCGATAGGCCTAGGGATGTCGAATGTGAATAAAACATATCAATATTTATAAAAATACTACGGCCTCGATATTTTCTCTTTAGTTTCTAGAAACCCTATTGTCCAAAAAAGGGTATGTCAAGTATATACAAATATTTGACATATAAAGATTTTCGTCGGTGTGGCAATCAGCCGTGTAGCTTAGTGGTTAAAGCGTCAGACCGCGAATGCCGAAGACGTGGGTTCGATTCCCACAGCGGCGACAATCTTGTCGTACTTTTTGTACAAATTTTAATATTTGACACCTACCGACTCTGTGCCGGATTCGAATTTGAAAAAAAATATCTTTTTGATACGATTTTCGATATTGAATATTTTGTATCGATATATCGATATTGCCCCGCGTAGGAATCGAACCCGCGACCCCGACGCCGAAGCCAATAGTTTGGAAACGGCGGCACCGAGTTTTGTTTTCTGTTGAAACATGTCACGAAGTAACACGCAACGTACCAACTGAGTCAGCAGTGTTTCGTTATAGACTGGTGGCGGCACCTCAGGATCCGCTTCTGGCAACAGAATCTCATTGCATTGCAGACCACGGCTGCGCAGGCACCCTAGGTCCACCTGGGAAACAAGTTCAATGTCAAGAAGATACACCCTATTTCTTTCTTTTCATATTATTATATTATTATTTGAGAGCCGTGATAGCTCAGTGTCCGGGCGCTCGCTTTCAATTCAATATACTCGAGCAACCTGAGTTCGATCCCCGGTGCCGGCACCAATGAAGTTTTTAACTTTAAGTGCTGACTTATCACGCGCTCCGCGGTGAAGGAGAACATCGTGAGGAAACCTGCATCTTTTTGAAATGATAACAAAAAAAAATTATTTCGAAGATATGTGAAGTCCGCCAATCCGCAGTGGGGCTGCGTGGTGGACTCTGCCCTGATACCCTCTCTATAGAGGAGGACTTTGCCCAGCAGTGGGACATGTATAGGCTGTTACTTTACTACTGTTACTTATATTATTATTTTATATCTTTCTATGAAAAGGTGGCGAACTAGCTGGCAGTTCACCTGATGTTAATTGATAACCGCCGCCCATTGACATTTGCAACACCCGTAGGGTTGCAGATGCGTTGCCACCCTTTAAAAGGGGCCCCGGCTACCTCACTCACCGGACGAAACGCTATAAACACTTCCACTTGACGTCGGTCTTATGTGAAGTCGTGGTACTTATCCGGACGGACCAGCCCGTTCGTACAACATCGAAGACCGAAAGAAGACTTGCGTGGCCCTACCTTCTTTACACAATAAATTATATCCCTCGCTAATGAAGCACATATGCAAGGGTTCTATGATCTGTTATAAGAGTATGGTGAAATAGTTACGAACACAGCCACTCGGCCAATTTACTTAATTATTCGTAAATAAACTGTGTGAGATTTTATTAAAATTTTTATACTATAGATAAATTGATACACTTAATATTTCCGGGGAGATGTAGGTAAAGCCGTTGTATTGTACTGAATCTAGGAAACTTATGTATTTTTATACGCAAATACCTTGTGTATGCAAATAGGACTGAATCCTTATTAATTTAAATTAGTCATCATATATTTAAATTTTTGCACAAATTCCTGATTACCTCCCAAGGCATGTCGACAGCCACGTCCAGTTTCGCCGGCGTCCAATCGTTTTTGATGGTGAACTTCTTTAGTTGGATGAACAAATAGTCGGGGAATGTTGCCAGACGGGTTATCCTAAATAAAAAATAATGATAAATAAACAAGCTTCTGTGCAAGACATTGTTGACGTCGTAGGGCAATTGTTGAAATGTAGGATTTGTTTATTTTATTTATTTAATCTTTATTGCACTCAAAATTATAGTACAAAGGGGAGCTTAATGCTATACTGCATTCTCTACCAGCTAACCCCAGGTAAAACAGAAAGAAAATGACTAGGGCAGTAAAGTTAAAAATCAGAATTAAACACTATGCATATAATAATGAGTAATAAATTCTAGTAATACTTACATAAAGATACATACATGTTTATACATAAAATACAAAATTTATAAGCGTCTGCTAAATAATTGCGGGTAACGAGATACACCGTTACATTAAATAGTTTTAAGTTTTTTTTCTGTTGCCTTTTTTTAGTAGCGTTGCGCTCACATATTATAGCAGTAATTTTTTAATTAATAAACCTCTCTTATTATCCTCGATCGCGTATTATTTCATCGACGATGATTTCTTGAAGTTAGTTTTGGCGCGTTTGGAGAAAATTATGAGAGATAAGAGAGTAAAATTTTTAAATGGCGCAACATGATGAAGTTGATCTTAAAGTACGGTAATACCGTGAAGTAGGTGGCAACCAATAACAACTTGTATGATATTTACTTATAATTCCAAGTTTAAATGAACCGTTACCAATTGCATTTAATGTCTATTTCACAAAAAAGTGTACTGGCACAGGGGATAAGATTTTTAGGTATTTCTATTTTGTTACGCATAAGTATTACTTCTTACGTGCGTATATACTTTATTTTTTAAATGAACACAGGCTTTGTTAAATGAAACTATTTTAAGGATTTAAATAATAAAAATAAATTATAAAAAACGCGTTTAATTAGATTTTAAACTCCCGACGTTTGAACCCTTTCCAGCTTTCATGGTCACGGGATGGACTGAGTTGTTTCACGTCATAATGACAGAGTAAACTCATGCTACTATTATTATTATTTATTATATTATTTTCCTTAAAATAGTATAAAAAAATAAATATTTTAGGACACATTTTTACACAGTTTCTAGTCCCAAAATAAGGAACGCTTGTACTATGGGTACTAGAAAACTGATAAATATACTTAAAAATACTTTTCTTTTCTAAATAAATACATATTATACATATATAAACACCCACACTAGAAAAACACTATGTTTATCACACAATATTTGTCCAGCAGTGGGGATTGAACGCACACCCCCTGGCGCAGGGGGCAGGTACACTACCCACTACGCCATTCGGGTCGTCGTTTAGTTTCATTTAACAATGTATATTATTCGCGTATAAACAACAAATAAATATTTAAATAACGTAGAGAATGCTAGTGACGGCCGTTGCGGAATATACTGAAAACGATTTGCCTGTGTTTTAACCGTGGAGGGCCCACGCAATAGTCCTCTCTGTTGCATAAATGGGCAGAAGTGCCACGAGCTCACAGAAGACCGGCGTGTAGTGGAAGTGTAATACACTTCCACTACACTAATGCCAGTCATCTGTGTTATACTTCTGCATTTCGTCCGGTGAGTGAGGTAGCCGGGCCCACTTTATTCAAAGGTAGCGACGCATCTGCAACTTTATGGGTATTGCAAACGTCCATGGGCGGCATTACTTAACATCAGGTGAACCGCCAGCTCGCTTGGCACCTTCTCACATAAAAAAAACCTTACTTGGTAGCGGTGACCTTCTTTTGGACGGCCGTGCTGAAGAACTGTTCGACGGTCTCCTCGCGCATGAAGCTCTCCAGGCAGGCCTCGAACGGGATCTTGGGGCGAACGATCTGCGACGGGTCGCTGCAAAGAATATTGGTCTAAATGTAGTGTTCGGTCGAGCTAGGGATGTCCGATGTGATATATCACAATATCGATACACTTCTATATTTAGTTTATACGATACTCCACGATGTATTGTATTATTCTCATTTTTATTGTAATAACGTATCAACACACTGTATTAAAGAAATACAATGTTTTCTCTGTTTTCATTTTTCAAATTCACAGAAAGAATCAACAACAAATGGGTATTTAGGTAGGTTATGATAATATTAATTGAAAAAGTGTTTATTTTTGCGCAGCTTGACTTCTGAACAAAGAGAGAAACGAAGCCTTTGGTGGATAGTGGCTTTTCTGCTAAAATAAATTGCAAGGTTTATTTAAAATCGATAGAACGGCTGCACATACTTTTATTGAAAATGGTATGGATGGCAGGTGTTGGCTGTTCTCACACTGTGATATGCACTGACAAACATCGAAAATTCTGTGGTGGGGCCACGCAACAGTCTTCAAGTCCGTCCGGGTAAGTACTACGACCTCGGAGAAGACCGGCTCGAAGTGGAAGTGTTTTGCGTTTCGTCCGCTGAGTTACTTAGCCGCGGCCCACTTTATTCATAGTCGGCAACGCATCCACGGCACAGCTCGTCGTCGTCCCCATCATCGTCGTCCCCGTCGTCGACATCAGGCGAACTAACTGCCAGCTCGTCACCGTCCCGAGAAAAAAAAAAAGGAAAAAGTGCGCGGCGCACTCACAGCCGCTGGCCCCTCTCCTCGGCCTCGCGCCGCCTCTGCTCGTAGTCGCGCAGCTGCGGCCTGTTGGCGGCGCTGTGCAGCGGCACCGGCAGCGGCAGGTGGTGCTCCGCGCGCCGCGTGTAGCGCACGCCGCTCGACGCGCCGCACTGCAGCCGCTCCTCGACCGCGAAGCGCAGGCAGTCCGCCGGGTTGGCGCGGTGCCGGCTGTTGCGCTGGGGGCGAGCGCGCGGGCGCGTTAGGCGGCAGCCCTAGCCAGGGCAGCACGCGCGGCTCGCACGTGCGTGTCCGAGTGGCGACCCTAGCCTCCGACAGCACACACGGCTCGCTCGTGCGTGTTAAGTGGCGACCCTAGCCTCCAACAGCACACACGGCTCGCACATGCGTGTCCGAGTGGCGACCCTAGCCTCCGACAGCACACACGGCTCGCTCGTGCGTGTTAAGTGGCGACCCTAGCCTCCAACAGCACACATGGCTCGCTCGTGCGTGTTAAGTGGCGACCCTAGCCTCCAACAGCACACACGGCTCGCTCGTGCGTGTTAAGTGGCGACCCTAGCCTCCAACAGCACACACGGCTCGCTCGTGCGTGTTAAGTGGCGACCCTAGCCTCCAACAGCACACACGGCTCGCTCGTGCGTGTTAAGTGGCGACCCTAGCCTCCAACAGCACACACGGCTCGCTCGTGCGTGTTAAGTGGCGACCCTAGCCTCCAACAGCACACACGGCTCGCTCGTGCGTGTTAAGTGGCGACCCTAGCCTCCGACAGCACACACGGCTCGCTCGTGCGTGCTTAAATGGCGACCCTAGACTCGTTGTGACTTCATAATGACGATGTAACCAACGGCCGTTCGTTGAATTTAGGAACCGGGCATAATTGGCAACCCTAATCTCCGACAGCAGAAACAGTAGTCTTTTGCCTCGTGCGTGTTCGAATGGCTACCCTAGTCTTTAACAGAACCCACGGCTCACTCATGCTTGTTGAGAAAATTCGAAACAAGTCTGAATCTAAATAAATTTTAACTTTGATTTTAGAAAACAATCATCTTCCTATCTTTGTCCCACCTAAGTGGGTTCGTCACATACGTAAATACGATCACGTTAATGGGTTTAGCTAGAAACGAGCAGCACGGCCAAGGGAATCGAACCCGCGCCTGAGCCGACGGCGCCGTCAAATCCATTCAAGGCCGGCACCTCGACGAGGTTGAGTAGGTGGAGGTAGAACTCGTGCGCGTCCTGCTGGCGCTTGCTCATGAACTCCGGGTGGCCGCGCCCCACCAGCTGCCGGTACATGTGCGGCGAGAGGCCGCTCTGCGCCCCCTCGGCGCCAGGGAACGAGTAGCGCCCCGACACCAGCCCCACGCCGAGCTTGGCGCTGAAACGGACACGCGACGGGCTTAGCGCTTGTCTGTTCGTTTATTTATTTATTTATATGAGGGGGCGAACGTGCGGTCCACTTGATGTTAGGCGATGACCGCCGCCAATGGACATTTGTAACAGATGCGTTTGCCACCTTTTAATACGGTGTGCCCTGTTCGCTTTTTTCTTTTTTTTTCCCGGATGGAACTGCCCATTCGTGCAACAGAGAAGACTGTTGCGTTTCGACGAAGGTTATTAACACATCATGAAGGCATCGAGTGTTGAAGATGTCCATGGGCGGCGGTGTTCATTTAACATTAGGTGGACCGCCTGCTCGCTTGACAACTGTTCACATAAAAAAAAAGAAAAACAGGTGACATAAGGCTTTATGCCTTTAATGGTTTAAATGAACTTCTATGTTGTTTGTGTGTGTTTCATTAACAATAAACAATAATTATATTAGAGATAAAAGCCAGCAATACACTGATGGGTTAAAACAATTGAATATTCCATTTCATTATGCAGGGAAGAATTTCACTGGCCTTTATTCCTCCCCTGGTTGCATAAAAAAACCTCTTTAATAGATAAGTAAATTATTGCTACACACTTTTACTTTGCCAACTTACGTTTGAACATTGAAGTCATTGACGGGATCCGAGGGGAATGTGGAAAATATTTCAGGTGCACCCTCAACGAAGCGTCGGATGAAATCTGGCATTCTGAAAATGACCTAACAATTTTTTTTGTATGAAAAATGTTATTATAATACAGAATACAGCATGAGCACTTTACAATTTGTGCAATCCACTTTTTAGGGGACATATATATATATATATATATATGAATACTATAAAGATGGAACTGAATTAAAAGTGATTAATCACTACAATCTAAATATGATTGGTTGATTAATAGCACTATTTTATAGAATCACATTTGAATTTTTTTGTTTTTTTTTAGGTATTTTTGGAAAACTTACAGCTAGAACAGTCATTGTTTGATCAAATTTAACAAAATTAAAGGCCAATTAAAAGTTTTCACAATTAGAGAATTTGGCATAGAATTATGTGTTCGAAAGAGAAGCGTTAAACAATAAAAAGAAAAGTAATAGGTTCATTAATTGTGTATAACAATATGGTTAATTGCTTTTAAAGAAATGATTGCACATGCATTTTTTTAAACTAGCAACACTTGTGTTGAAAATGTCGCCCTCAACAGGTAAGAGTTCTTTCTGTATGCGGTTCTCGTTTTAGGGACGTGTAGGAGACGGTATCTGCGTTAGTTCGCAGAAGGTACGCGTAAACCTATTTTGTTCCCATGTTCAGGAATATTAGTCAAAATCTTTCTCTCAATCTCAATTATTTTAATTCAAGACATTTTTGATACTTAAACACCTTCCTTGGGAATTGTTTAAGTTTTACTGTTTATTATATTCTGCCAAGAAATAGTGGATTGGTTATTGTTTGAAGACCAACAAATCAAAATCAACATGAGAAAGAGATGCTATTAGAATATGAAGAATTATTATTCACCTGTATCACACTGTTCATGTAGCAAGAGTTGCCAAGATTGTTGAGGCCCGTGAGGGCGGGGCCGTGCAGTGGTTGCAGCTCGCTTCCAGACTCCTGCAGTGTGCTCCACTCCCCAGTGCGCTGGTTCAATTCCAGCTCTAGCTCCACCATAGACTTGTCAGTCTGGAAGTCATAGAATTCTATTATGACTCTATTAATTTTATTGATTTAAACAAGGTTCTTTTTTATGTGAAAACTTATGCCGAGCGAGCTGACGGTTCACCTGATGTTAAGTGAATACCGCCGCCCATGGACATCTGCTACACCCGAGAGTTCCAGATGCGTTGACAACCTTTTGAAAATTGGGCTCCGGACACCTCACTCACCGGACGAAACGCAAAGTGTTATACTTCCACTTTACGCCGGTCTTCTGTGAGGTCGTGGTACTTACCCGGACGAGCCTGCCCATTCGCGCAACAGTCGATGCTGCTGCGTGCCTATCACTGTGAAACTGGTTAAATTATGGGTTTAAGTATTTGGTATGTTAAGAGGCCTTTACTAATGCAACACGCATCAATTTACATATTCACATATTCGTAGGCTAATCAATAATAATTTATCATACTTTTTTAATAAAACTTGGTTGATTATAAAGTTGTAGTTCGGCTACTAACGGGGCATGCCGGAATCTATGATTGGTTTTTGGCGTCACGGGTCACCACTTAATTTATTACGGTATATCATCATCATGTGTTAAAGGGAAGGCATTTCCCTTAGAATACCACAATGAGATTATTATGATTAATTCTATTCAATTAAAAGGAGCCATGATAACTCATTGTCTGGGCTTACTGTCCGCTTTTAAGACAATTGTAGTATATATAATATATGTTACTTAATAAACATCTACAATTGAATTCAATAAAAATATTTGGTCATGGCAAATAAAAAAGAACTAAAATAACTGTGCCCGATTTAGATCACATCGGGGAGGATGCAATAACGCGGACCTTCTGCATGTTCTGCACTTCGATGCCGAAGTGTTTGAGGTGGTCGGCCAGGTAGGGGTCCTCGACCATCTCGTCCTCGATGTAAGAGAACACGTCCGCTTTGCCGTCGGCCGTGATGGTGCCGAGTTTGACCGCCAGCGGGAAACCGGTGGCTCTGTAGTGCTCCACCTGTTAAATAACCGATATATTCATATAATCAAACTGAACATGCAACAGTGTTCGCTGATGCACGAATGGGCAAGTCCGTCCGGGTAAGTACCACGACCTCACAGAAGACCGGCGTAAAGTAGAAGTGTTACACTTCTGCGTTTCCTCTGGTGAGGTACTCACATAATTAAAAGGTGACAATGCATCTGCAACACTACGGGTGTCACTGATGTCAATGGGCGGCGGTTATCACTTACCATCTGGTGAACCGCCAGCTCGTTTGCCACTTTCTCATAAAAAAAAAATCACTAACACTACGGTAAGCCTTTAGTATTGCTTAACCACTAGCGCCACCTGTGCAGTTCGTACGAGTGTGAATGATGCGTTGAGCAGTTAGGTAATCTCTGATTCAGTCGTATTTGTTTTTTATTTGAGCAATTGGTAAACGAGCTGGCGATTCACCTGATGCTAAATGATAACCGCCGCCCACGGACGTTTGCAACACCGGTTACAGATGCGTTTCTACCTTTAAATAGAGTAGGCCCCGGATACGTCACTCACCAGACGAATCGCAGAAGTACAACACTAACAATTCACGCCGCTCCTCTGTGAGGTCCTGGTACTAACCTCGATTCGTGCAAACAGCGAATACTGTTTTGGCGAATGCGCGGTCCTACCACAGTTTGATCAAAAATGCATAACCACTCTCAGCCGCTGGTAACGCTGGTGAGTGAGGTGACCGTGGCCCACTTTATTATAAGGTGGGCAACGCATCTGCCACCTTCTCACACCAAGACGACCATCTAGGCACATCGAAATCAACCCATTTCCAGATGTGTACATATAGGAGACGCAAGTACACATCGCCTGTCGACTCGCGAACTTGTACACGACTGACCGCGTGGTCGTTGCCGCCGGTGCCGTCGAAGAAGCGGCGCCCGCACAGTATGGAGCCGTCGGTGAGGTTCAGCCACAGGTTGGCGGTGAGATCGCACTTGGCACACTTCCAGCCGCTGGGCGGGATCTTCACGCCGTTGTCCAGCTGCTTCAGCTCCAGCGCGTGCCTGCGGGAGGTGATTAGAGGTCACTCGACAAGGGATACAAAAAAAAAAGAGGTTGTGTTTGAAAAAAAAAAAATAAACGAGCTCGAAAATAGTTGACACGGGTGAGGCTGACCAGTCTGTGTTAAGTAGGGGCGTTGAAAAAGTATCGATATATCGATATTTTCAATCGATATACAATCGTATCAAAAACGTTTTTTTTTTCAAATTCAAATCCGGCACAGGGTCCGTAGGTGGCAAATATTTAATACTTGACATACCCTTTTTTGAACAAAGGTTTCGATATATAATATCCGATATATCGATATTTTCTTTTCGATATATCGAGACCGTTATTGATACTTTTATACATATCGGTACATCGATATAATACATGACTAATAAAATGTTTAGGCAGACTGAAAATATCATAACGATATAATTTTTGTCGGCTTACAATTAACGGAGGGCCATCGTGAGGAGTGAGGGATTGGTTTGGTTTACGTCTGATGAGTGAGTGAGATAGAAGGTCACAGTTTTAAAAGCTGCAACCTATCTTGTAATGTAACTGTAGTTGTCTATGGGCGACGGTAATCATTGAACCGCTAACCGATAATATGTTATAGTTATGGTACATATTTAATCTACTTAATAATTTATCAATAATTTATAAGTACAGTTTGTTGTGATTTATTTAAAAGTTGTTGGTTCGATACCTATTGCGCCTGTGATATTTATTTCCTACACCCTAGAGTGGGGAGTGGGGGGTTAGTATTTTCGTTATTGGAAGTTAAGGCAAGCTCTGCTGGAAAAGATAAGTAATATTGTTGTCCAATTAATAACTTATTGTTGAATTATAGTTGTGTAAGTCGGTAAAAGCTAACTATTATAACTTGTAATAAATAACCCATTCTTTCCGACCTTAACAGACCTCTGGAAGTCAAAGCGACCTTCGTCAGTATGTAATGTGCCACTCGTGTATACAAATCTATGGAATCCCGTCTCCCTTTTTACCCGTTATTTATTATAACTCACGTGGAAACCTGTCTGGACTCGCCGTCCCACGTTCCCCGCAACGCGGCCGCCTCCGCCATCTTGAATGGTGATTCTGCATCGATCACGGCCTGAACGGATTTCTTCACCTGTGAAAATACATATGGCAGCAGTTTCCTTTTAGGGTTCCGCGGCGCTCTGGGACAAGGGAACCCTTAATGGGTCACTGTTCTTTATAAAACCGATGAGGGTGTCGAGACGAAAACTATGTCAAATACGGTCTACGCTCTCGACAAGATTTTTAAGTGATAACTTCTATAGGCATCTTCGGCCATTTTTAATGGGGAAAAATTCATGGAATTTTATGTTATATAATTAATTTGATACCGGCAAAAGGTCCATATGCCAGATATGACGTTATCTACTCGAGCCAAGGGACACATGGTCGCATGGAGCAGCGGTCACTTGGATTTCGGCCGCGTTCCCAGACGGTTATATAACCACTAGTGCTGCTTGTCGTTATAATAGTTGTTAATATTCACGTTCAGTAATAGTTAAAATATTAGGATCAAGATAAAATCGTTAGAACTCTTATAGAAGCAAGGTTAATACAAACGATAGGGAAGTAATCCGAAAATTGTTAGTGTTGATGTTAAATTTAATGGCATTTTTCTTTACTAGACTTTTTTTTATTTACTCATGTGTCGAATAACCACGTTACGAGAAGACAGAGGGCGGTAGATTAAACGGTGCGAAATATTTGGTGTTTCCATGCTTTTGTGCAGATGAGGTGCGATATTCAGGGTAAGATAAAAAGTAAAGTGCCAGACTGTATATGCTCTCATCAGGTTCCCCCCTCACGTAGTTTTTACGTAAGTTTAATTCTAACACCGGTTCGTAATGAGTTCCTCTAACGGAGAAGAAGCAGGCGAAAGAAACTCCGTAGAATTTTTTTTGTCATTTTTTTTACCCTCAAACTATTACATTGTTACTAGTACATAATTTTTTTTTCGGAAACAGCTTAAGAGCGATCATCTCATTCGCCCGGGTAATTATCATTAATGTATACGTTTATATTATAATAACCATTTTAAAAAAGTTTTTCTTTAATATATTTCTTAAACTTGTTAATATACAGGCTTTGCGCATTTACTGGGATTTTTTTTGTAGAAGCGTATCGTATACACCGTCCCATGAACCAGTTACTTACTCTATGGAGTCTAGGAATGGTCTAATATCTATCTGGTAAGAGAAAAGATATGAAGCGATTATATTAGACACGACTTAGCTGATGTGAGGAATTGTCAGGGAGCGCTGTAAAGATAGATAGAATGTATGAAAATGGAAATCCTAACTATGCAATATAATACAATAACAATTCAATACAATAACAAATGTTTAATAACTTTGTGACAACAATTATTAATGTATTTTTATGTCGTTATCTTAGTTTTGCTACGGGTAAACAAATGAGCAAAAACAACCTCTTATATACAATCATCGTAAAAGTTTTTATATTGAATTGTCATAATCTAAACGGAAGCATATTCTAACAGTATAAAGGAGAAAAAATATCATATATAAACTCAATACTTTCGACGGTAACAATAATTTTCGTTAAATTATGGGTTTCTGAATCACTGACCATCGTAGAAATTAACTAATCAGCTTTCAAATGTCATTTGCGTTGCCAAAAGGATGGTTGAACTCTAAAATGGTCATTACACAAGCCATTTGACAGGTGAGTAGTTAATTTCTACGATGATCACGCCCGGTTTCTGAAACACTGATCAACGTAGATGTCAACTAATCAGCTGTCAAATGAATTTCAAATTTCATTTTAGTTGCCAAAAGAATGTTTAAACTCTTTGAATTGATCATTCTGATCATAAAGAAGATCATTCTGGTCAATTCAGAGAGTTTAACCATCTTTTTGGTACCTAAATTGTAATTTGAAATCCATTTGACAGCCGATTAGTTGACATCTACGATGATCTGTGTTTCAGAAACCGGGCGTCAGTGTTTTATAAACTGGGCGTTAGTCTCCTACTACGTTAGTCATTACAACGTTGCCGAACTAAATTAAACAAAGTGTTTTTGCAACCAAATTTAAGAAGCGAGGTTCCCAAATTTCAAGTAAAGTTTTGTTTACGTAGATTATGCGATTTTTTTTTTGATATGAATTATGAAAATGTAAACAAAAATAATTTAACAAGCATCCACATCGGGCTCTAATACATGGTGTCATAAATAACTCAAAGCTGAAAATTAAATAAAAATACGATCTGTTTCCCAACGTGTATTTCGCAACTGTGGTAGGACCACGAAACAGTTTTCGCTGTTGCACGAATGGGCAGGTCCGTCCGGTTTAGTGCCACCACCTCACGGAAGAACGGCGTGAAGCGGTAGTGTTACACTTCTGCGTTCCGTCTGGTGAGTGAGGTAGCCGGGGCCCACTTTATTAAAAGGGCGACAACGCATCTGCAACCCTACGGGTGTTGATAATGTCCATGGGCGGCGGTTATCACTTAACATCAGGTGAACCGCCAGCTCGTTTGCCACTTTGAAGTGTATTAGTACATTCTTCATGGGACATGGGAGTCCCGGTGCTCGCTTACCACCTCGGGGAGGTCGCTTTCCGGCCACGGGTAAGTGTGGAATCCGGGCAGCACCACGACGGCGTAGTGGTCCGTGTAGGTGAACTTTGGTTTCGCGATGTCGGGTTCGAACCCGCCCTCCACGCCGATCGCGAGCCTCGTGATCTTCTTCTCCGGCCCGTCACCGGTCACCTCGGGCTCCGGCACCTGAATGTACGCTTCATTATTGCTGACAAATAAGATGGGACATGCACATTTATGGTACCCTAGTAGTCCTCGTCGAGGTATTTCTTGGGCTCTTTGTGCTTTTATCAAAAGCTGTAGATTTTGCCCGCGGACGTAAACGTGGTATTTCAATGTGTTCATCATCATGTTCGTGTTTTATTTTTTCAGGAATAATAGCAAGTAATTACAAGTATTCACACAAACTAGAAGTACCCTTCCACACAAACCATAATTCGATACAAGCTCGTCAACTGTCACGCCACCGAATCCCTACATCTCTATGTGTCGTTTTTTCTCGTTTTATATTGTTTTCCTCAATTGAGGGAACCTACTTGGAGTACGCAGTGCCACTTACCGGTTTCTTCTCTCTGTGTATGTGGAGGAACACAGCGTTGCCGGTCTTCTGGAAGTACTGCTCCACGTAGTTTCTTCCGAAACCGAGGAATGATGTGAGCGAGACGTATAGACCGGTTTCGGATTCCTTCCGGACAAAGGAAATTTATTGATTTACGATAAAAATAACAAGACAATAGTCTGTCAATTTATGAATTACTAGCTGCTACCAGCGACTACGTCTGCGTAGAATAGGCTGAAGGTGTGTAGGACATTAAGACAGAAACACAGATATACATAAAATATTTACGTTAATTATAGCCTATGACAGATGTACATAAAATATGTACGTAAATTATAATCTGATGTATAAGCTATATTATTGTAGTTTCATTAAAATTCATTCAGTAGAATTTGCGTGAAAGCGTAACATCCATCCATACATACAAACTTTCGCCTAATATTATTACTTACTAGTAAGGATTAGTATGGATAACAAATTCACATATTTATAACTAGCTGAACCGTCAAAGGTTGCTTTGCGATATAAATTATTTCCAGGGAATTTGTGAATCTGAAGACATAGATAATTTTTTTTCTTTTTTTATATTCAAAACTGGCCAGCACTTAACTGCCATCCCACCTGATGGTAAGTGGCGATGCAGCCGTTTGATACGCAAAATGTTTGATAGTAAAATTGTTGCTATTTCGATTTTCTATAATTTGTCATCGTTTAAGCCTTCCCTGGACTGCCATAAATATTTCAAAACCAAAATTAGACAAATCGGTCCAGCCGTTCTCGAATTTTAGCGAGACTAACGAACAGCAATCCATTTTTATATATAAGATAATACGCCTATATATGTTCCACTCCTGGGCAAAGGCCTCTTCTGTACAGAGGCTATTATGGTGTAGTCCACCACGCGACCCCATTGCGGATTGGCAGATTTAACTATCTGCGAAATTTTATATTTTTCTATTATTTCGAAAATAACGACGTTTTCCTTCAACGCTGTAAGTCAGTGCTTAAAATTGGAATAAACAATTTCAATATCGTGAATTGACCTCGGGTTGCTAGAGTACCCGGCCACTGTACTAATAAGAAACTATACATGTTTTATAAAAGGTACATTATGTGAAATGGATGGTCTTGTCTTTTAGAAATATTATCGAAATTTAATTAAATCTAGGAATATCTAATTACTGCGAAGAGGTTTGTATTACGCAATAAATTTATATCACTTACGGCTCAGCCATATTGACACACGCGTAATAGGAGTATTGTTTGTTACAATGTAAAAATATCGATTTGGTTTTTTTTACGACGTTTAGACGTACATTAAATATTCCAAAACGATACGGGCTTAAGATAGCGGGGGAATACGTAATACTTATAAATAAAAACATCTGCCAAAGATGATGTATTAAAAGACTGAAAGTGTGCTGAAGTTGTGCCTTACAAGGGAAAATATCAAGGGATGTTCAAGGATTATGTAATCAAATTGGGATGGGCCATTTTTTCTTACTTTTTCAAATGGGACGGAGGCATTATTACAAAGGACATCTTAAATACATAATAGAAATGTTTCTAAAACATTAATATTTAATGAATTTCTGTAATTTGTGTAAGCGAAGAGAAAAATCGATTGTTATCAATTGTTGCCAACGTTTGGCGTTTTGTAGAATTATTTCCGTCTTGATATTTAATCAATAATCATCATACTCGTCCCCGCATCCAACCTAGGTGGGATCGGCACATCACGTGAATCATGTTGTAAGCGGTTTTGGCTATGATTTCTACTGATTTCTGACGTCAACCCCGCTTGGGAATTGACATTTCTTCAATATACATCCTAAACCATTTGACGAAAATCATTTGGGATAGGGGCAATTCACAATTGTCTTATTTTCGCACAGTAAAGGTTTACATAATTATTTGTCTCTCCCCTATATTTTGAAATTGTTTGATAATACCACGAAAGAGCAGAGCGTCGAATATATTAACTCCCTTTTAGGGTTAAACGGGATCAAATCCCTGAGTCTCTGCTGCCTGACTGTCTGTCACCAGGCCCGTGTGTGTAATATATGTATATAATCATGAAACATGTGTCTCATGAACTGTGATAGTTGGACAGTTGAAATTTTCACAGATGATGTATTTCGGTTGCCGCTATAACAACAAATACTTAAAAACAGAATAAAAAAATGTTTAAGTGTGGGTAGGGCACGATTTTTTTGCCGTTTTTATTGATAGTCCGACTCGAACTTGGCTGGATTTTTTCAACTCGGTAAAAACTATAAGTCGAGTGGAACAATAACTTCCGGTAAAAAGTGCCCCCATAATTTGCACACTGATAACAGTTATCGCGGTGACGAGAAACCAACATAGGGGCATGTTTGAGCACATTCATTCGTAGGTAGCCTTATAAACAACCCAGAATGACCAAAATCATGGACCTTTATCTGGGAACCTTTCTAATACTCTGCGGGTTCTCCTTGAGCGTGCTGAACCTTAGAAGGGTAGTGAGAAGAAGTCAGACAACGATATCATCAGTGCTCCTGTCAGAGAACATTCTCCTGACATGCATCGGTGTCGCTTTTGTTAGTAGATCCGTGTATGAACTAAATTCTACAAGTATCAGCATGAGTGAAATAGACGAGAGGACTGCCGATCTGAAGAAATCGGGAAAACTGGACGCATCATCGGTGCACTGTGATTTCTTATCAGTTCTCATGAGTTATGGTCCACTGATTGTGTCTCTAGTGAATAGCTTTTTAAGTCTTATAATTGACAATTACATGCACTATAAAATGCTGTATGATATGAAAGAGAAAACCGAGGAAAATAATGTGAGGCGAATTGGTGAAGAAACAAGATCCGGAAGAAACATTAATTTCAACAAATTATTCGATATGTCAAAGAGATACTTCTCGTATGCTGTTATAGTTCTACAGTGGATTGTTCCTATTATAATAGCTATGCTTATGTATCCAATGGGGGCAAATCCAAAATTGATCACTGGAGAAGAAAGAAGTGCAGAGGATACATGTATAACCATGCTTAATTTTGCAATTGAAAGATGCTCAAACTTCACTTTTAATAGTTCAGGCTATTCACTGCCAACAAAATATTTAGAAGTATATGAATATGAGCATGGCAATTCAAGTGATTCCAAAAAAATAGATTCGGTATTAAATAATGTTTTCAGCATTCTCGCTAATTACAACAACGAGACTGATTTTCTATTCACAAATGAGTCGAGATCACAAAGAAGGCCAAAAATGGATGGTGTGTGCACCAAGGTCTGCTACATGGACAACAAAAACGTTCTCCTCTATATGTTTCTTTTGGTTGTTGTTAGTTACTTCATTCCAATATCAATTTCTATGGTGATTCTAACAAAGATCCATGTAATGGAAGTGAAAGCCACAAACATGAAAACATATGTGACAAGAGAGCTTTTGTACAATATACTATTCTGGACTCCAGTAATGTTTGATACCTTTCTGTCATTGATGTTCTGTTCTTATTCTATGGATGGGATGAGAACATCCTTATTTAATGTAATAGCTAATATATACCAAACTGTAAAAAACTTTACGAACACAAGATACTTTAAGGAGAATGCAATTGTACCCATTTAATATTCTTTTGTTTGCAATAAATATATTTGAAGTAATTCAGGAACAACATGTATACATGTCTAAATAGTTAGCAGTAATTTTATTATTTAATAAAAAAATAATTAACTGAAGATATTTATTATGTAACCATTAATGTTTCTTTCCATTATCATACATAATGTGAACAATTATAATTAATTACAATAAAATGAAGAGCAAAGTAAAAAATTGCTATTATTACATTAATGTAAGTAATTTATCTGTTTATTAAATTCCATAAACTTACTTTAATTGTTTATTATTAACTTAAACTTATAAATCTTTAAATGACAAATACCTACATGAAAACAATAATTTAATGCAAGTCATAATAATTTATAGGCAGAATCGGTTTTCTTGATATTACAGTATTCCCAGTTTAGCACAGCAATAATAATAAATAATGCAATAGTAGTGCTTACTATTGTTGATATTATATATTTTATTATAAATAAGATAGCAGTTCTTTGTTGTTTGGTAATGAGTGTTCATAAAAATTGAAGCATAAGTCAGAGTTTAATATTAACACTTAATTATTTATTATAATCGTCTCAATTATAATGAAGCATAGATTAATAATTAATAATGTTTAATAGTAGGCCAATAGTTTAAACTAAAAGTAAGGTATTGAAATTGAATGTCAATTAAAAGTTAAACAGAAAAAAATATATTTTATTATTATAGAAATTATAAGGTTATAAAACAAATTGCAACTCACCGGATTGTCAAAAGAATAAACACATTCATCTTTATACACTATTTGTTGTTGTCCAGGTATTTTGATTTTGGATAAGTGAGGCGTTATCAACTCCAGTGACGCCATGGTATAGTTTTTTGTGTTAAAAGTTTAGAAAATGATATTTAATTTTTCATAAATTGTCTATCTCATATACGGCGTCGATCTAAAAATATTATATAACTAGTGATGTAATTCCATTATACCGGTTTACCCATTTTCCGGTAGGTAATTGTGTTTTTATATATAATCGTATCGATCTTTCGAACAATGCAACAAAGTACCATAGAGAACATATCTAGAAGAAATTTATTGTTAAAGTAAGAAATGTTGACACAAAATAAAAAATACAAAAAGCTAATTAATGAAAAAAAAATCACTTTAAATCACTCAACGAAACAATCTTCTTTTTTGTATGTTTGGTTTGCTGTTAGCCCGGCATCTTTTCCAGCTTCGTTGGAAGAGGCCAGTGGGCCAGTGGGCCATATGGATTGCATTTTCAAATCTGCGACCTTAGTTCGTGTCGGCAGATGGGATGAACACGGGTCGTAATATGGGGCGGCTCTGTTTGGTACATAAATTTATCCACCATGGGGACGAGGCTTAGCGGTTTATTGTACACACGAGATAATTCACGATGAGATGATGTTCTGCATTCCGGGTACCTACTAAAAGACCCTTTGATGTAGTAGCCCGGATGGTTGTCCTTCTGACGTATAAGACGATCATCCATAAGCAGTATCAGACAGCCTCTGCATTCTGCGAATTTCTTCTTCAAGCCGACGAGATGACGTGACATTGACTGTCCTTAAGTACACCCACGCATCCAATGACGGCTACTTCATAGGACGATCATTTAAAGTTGTTTCATGGATTATATTTAGATCAATAAATAAATAGACTCCATTCTGACAGCAATCTATGACTGTACTTAGGCACAGTCGAAATACGCACTGCTTGTCAGCGTACTCTGCGGCCTCTAAGTGAACTCTTCTCTCAACCTCCCTAAAGCGACCCTGTCGTGTGGGTAGGTTAGTGGTAATATCACGTTCAGAATTGCTCCAACACAGCTGCCATTTGGAAGTCCAGTTTCTATGCTTCTTACTACCGATATTATCTGTTGTTTTGAAGGAGTATAACTGGTTTTGGCGCGTTTGGAAAAAGTATAATAATGATTTACGATGTGCGCGCATACCGACAGCCAAAAAGTGACATAATGAGGTTGGTTGCAAAGCGACCAACTTCACGGTATTATTATGCAAACCAATAACAACTTTACAACAACACAATTAGCTATAATTTAAAGCTATTTAATTAAGCCGTTATCAATTGCATTTAATGTCTTTTCCACAAAAATATCATCATGACTATCATGTTGACTTATTTTTCTTTTTTTACGATATAGAAGTATTACTTTTATGTATACACAACTTCTTTTTTATCATAACATTTTACTAGATGCACATGTGAGGCTTGTGAGGGTAGAATATTATCTTTTTGTAACAAGACAATAACAATAAGAAGTGAAATATTCTTAAGTACTAAATTAAAATAAGCCCAAAGCAAGAACCAAATGTGAAATAACCCATTTTAAAAAACTGATATCCATAGGTAATCTTAAATAGAAGTTCTGTAGTTGTCATTTTTAGCTGTAATCAGTGTATAAAACAATTTTGACAAAATAAATATTTTGACAAATCAAATAGAAAAGTAGAATACGTTTACATTAGGTACTTAAGACGTTGTGACAAATTTGTCTTGTGCCTGCTCGGACATTTAAAAGAGCGCTCTTAACTAGTTCGTTTTGGACAGTGGACTAGTTCATTATTTTAGTTCTATTAGCTCTATTCTGTCTTTGGATTTGGTCGGTTTATCTTTAAGAAACGTTATTGTTTAATCAGTATCTAGAGAAGTAAAGAGGACAAACACTGGTCATTATTTTAACCATTTTAACGTTAACTATCTCATATTCACAAAGTTTGATTTTTTTTTAGTATAACACTAGTGCTTATTACGTAGACATTAGACACGAGTCTGTCGCCTTTTTGCATCGATAAGCTAAAATAATCGTTGTTGCATTGTTATACAACTCTACAGTCTCAGTTTGACCACTCTCTTCCGATATACTCATTTTACTCGGTCATTGGTCGACTCTCTCACTCTCGCTCGCGTCCATTCGTTCGGTATAATTAGTGCAGTAGATGAATGGAAAGCACGAAGGAGCTATTAGATTGATTAACAGTGACGTTACGGAAACGTTTCTTAGTACAAAGATACGTTTCCTATTAGGGATATTGAAAGTGAAGAAATATATGCAATAACGGCTTCGATATATCGAAGATAAAATATCGGTATTTTCTTTTTAGACCTCGTTATCCAAAAAAAAAAAACGTGTGTCAAGTATTAAGTATTTGAATCTGTGGACTCTGTGTCGGATTCGATTGAAAAAATATCGTTTTTGATACGATTTCGATATTGAATATTTTACATCGATATATCGGTTAAAAATGTGGAAATATTTTAGTAAAAAATATCGATATTTTTTCGACTTTCCTATTCGTTAATTGTTTGCGAACTACACGAGTGACAAGACTTGGCTTAAAGGTCTTGTTACCAGGCCATAAAATCTTTATTAAAAAAAAGTGACAGGTCTACAACATGAATGACGAATTTGACAAATGAAACAAAATAAACAAACAGACATCAGGATAGCATTAAGTTCTAATAATTAAGTACAAAAAGGATCATGTCAGTAAAATTATATTATGATCTTATGTCTCAACCGTCTAGAGCTTTATACATATTATTAAAGACGGTAAAATGTAACTTTGAATCAAAATATGTGGATTTACGAAAAGGTACGTTGGTGAATTGTTTTTTGATGTTATTTTGAACGTTTAGTGTTTATGCCATTAGTTCCGTGAATTAAGTCAGAGTATATTTTGGATTTCACTTTATTTATATAGGTGAACATTACTCGGAGGAGTATTCAAAAGTCAACAGACTACAAAAGGTACCTGTAATTGAACACAATGGATTCATTCTGTCGGAGAGGTTAGTTCTTATAATTTTAACAAATTTGATATCAATTCATTCAATTTCAAAGTAACATGGACTAATGTCAACTTTTAAATAACTAATTTTTGTCGAAAATCCAGGAAAACTAAAGTATTCCAAAACTGTGTGAACTCATATTTGTTCTAATATAATGTGTAATTTACATAATTATATGTAATTTATATTACTTTTGTGGATTGCTTGATTATATTGGGGAAAGCCATTGCTGTTAATTTAATATGTAGGTAACTTTTCACTATGTTATTCTATACATCTTTATATGATTTACCATTTGATTTGATTGCAAACCATTTCTTATGACTCTGACTCAAGCCTCTCAGGTCACATGCCTTAACTAGTGTTTTTACCATTAACTATGTTTTTTTTTATTTCTAGCATTGCTATTATCAACTACTTATCCAGAGAAGCTATAATCCCTGAGACCTTGTATCCAAAAGAAAGCAAAGCTCGGGCATTAGTTCAAGAGTACCTGGAATGGCAACATATCGGCCTTAGACTTCATTGTGCTATGTTTTTTAGAGTTAAGGTAAAGTATATCTACTGAGATATGCTTTAATATATCGCAATGTCATTAAAAAGTTTCACAAATCTCCAGTACATGGACCCAATTCTATTTGGTCGATCACCGAGCGATGAACAAATACGTGGCTATGAGCAACGCATGGCTGCTGCAATTGAGCTGCTTGACACCAAGTGGTTAGGCAGGGGTACAGAGTTCATTGCTGGGAACACAATAACTGTTGCTGATTTAATGGCATCATGTGAATTAGAGCAACCAAGTAAGTTTGGTTAACACCATTTATTCATTATTAAAAGCATTATTGAAGTTAATACAATATTATATTATATATAAATTTGTGTAAATATTAAGATGATGATCAAAGCTTTGTTAATCACTGTACATTTATTCATAAAAATGAAAATTAGATTAGCTGTTTTATACAAATATAACTCCAAAATATTTTTCAATTGAATCTGATTACTATAAATTCAACCATAAATGTTTTGTTGATTTTCTATATTATTGTTTAAACAAAAGAAAACACTTCATTTTGTTCAATTGGTGGATTCAATTTACACATTACATAAAATTTATATTTCTTTCATCTCTATTTAAAACAACAATGTAAAGCAACTTTATTGATTTTCAGGAATGGCGGGCTTTGATCCCCAAGATAAATTCCCCAACATAGCTATCTGGTGGCCAAAAGTAAGACAGTACTTCAATCCCCACTATGATGAAGCTCATGTTATATTAAACAAAATTATTAAGAAGAGAAGTTCGAAATTATAACATATAAAACATTCGCAAAGCATTGTTAATAACAATGTAAAGTAACCTAAAAACAGGGAGGCTTTTCTAAGTGTATCCATTTTTTAAATTAAATTCTAGACATAAATAATGTTATATAAAAAATGATAAATATTTAAAACACTCGTAATTAATTTATTACATTCATTTTAACTTCTCAAAAAGTGGGTGATTTATGGAAAACTCATTTATTTTACGCGCGATCATTCATAACTAACACGCACACAAGTTCGTTTCAAAAGTATGCGACGCATTTATGAATGAGTATCGCATTGTCAACAAGTTGTTTTTTAGGGAATAGTATGGCAATTTTTTTTGAAAAAAAAAAAAAAAGAAGTTTGTTTTTATTTCAATAAACGATTATACTACTGAGTCTGAACCTCCTGTGTGAATTTGGGCACCTTTAGAAAAGCCACCCTGTATAATGACTTATTTTTGGGAAAACAGGTATATTGGGTTAACTTTTTGTGTCATTTTTTAAAATTATATTAATAATTTTGTTAATGCTTGAATAAGTCTTGGGTAATAACTTGTAAGTAGTTTAATCATATATTTTACAGGGAACTAGCAATATATTTATACATAATTTAAATACATATTATATTAATGTATTTAAACTTTTGTTTTATTCTCAAGTGCATATTATTAAAACAAATTATGTAAAGTGTATTAAATTATTATGCTAAGTCATTATCAACCTGTATTCAAAATTGTTTCTCAAATACTGAATCTAGTTGGCATAATTTATTTACCTTTGCGTATTCCCATTTTCACTTTGATAAATCGGTATCAAAATCAATTACTTTTCAGTTAAAGGGCAATTCATTCAAAAATTTTGAGTTAAAGACTGCCTCATCCATAACTAAACCTCCCCGTACAACATCCTTGCTCCGTATAATGATGAGACTAGAAAACCTCCATCAAAAGCATCCATCGATCAATCTTCCGCCGTTCCTACCGCTGCCTACCGATTCTTCGTATCAGGCTTTGCAAATTACCGATAAAGACACTTGCGAGACAATTATGTCATTTTCAAGTGGCTCTGCTGGCGGTCTTGACGGTATAACGCCACATCTGAAAGATCTTGTAAGCGTTTTCGCCGGTGATGCTGGCCGGTGAAGTGCTCTTTTTTATGATATTACAAAATTATGCAACTTAATGCTCTCTGGAAAAGTAAATTCTAAATTTGTTCCATTCTTATACGGGGCAAGATTATGTGCCTTTAAAAAAAAAAGATCATGGTATCCGTCCTATTGCTATTGGTTCTACCTTTCGACGCTTAACTTCAAAATTAGCATGTAGGCAGATAATCTCCGGCCTTAAAACAAAATTCCAGCCTGTTCAACTAGGCTTTGGAAGCAAAGGCGGCTGTAAAGCGGGTGTACTTTTGACAAGTTCTGAAGGTCGACCTAAGGAATGCTTTTAACTCCATTGATAGAACGACTCTGCTGAACAAAGTGGCTAACCATACACCAGAAATATATCATTATGTTTGACGATGTTACAGTGAAAAGAGTAATTTATTTTATGAAGACAATTGATTATTGATTCTGCTGTCGGCGTTCAGCAGGGAGATCCGCTAGGACCAGTATTATTTAGTTTAGGAATTCATCCAATTTTTTCAAAATTGAAATCTAATCTTAATGTCTGGTACCTATACGATGGTACGCTGGGAGGTAAAGTTGACGATGTACAAAGTGATCTTATCGAAATTATTAGACAATTTAAAAATATCGGTCTCGATTTAAATAATTCCAAATGTGAATTTTTCTTTTCCGAAAAGATTTCTTTTTCCGACAAAATCATTTTGACTCAAAATGTTAGCTCTTTCATACCAGGAATTAACGTAGTCCGTTCAGATTCACTTTACCTCTTAGGTGCTCCTTTGTTGATACCAAGTTTGGAACCTCATTTAAAATTAAAGTTAAATAAATTTTTAGATCATGTTCACAAATTCTTTCTACTAAATTAGCATATTGCGCTTACTATTTTGCGACATTGTATTCTTGTACCTAAATTTACGTACCTTCTTCGCTCGAGTCCAGTTTGGAAATGCGGTGACTTTTTGAACGAAATTGATTTCCATCTTAAATTAGCTCTAGAAAAAATTCTAAATTTATCTCTTAATGAATTAAGCTGGACCAAGCTACGCTGCCAATTTGTTTTGGTGGTATCGCTGTAAGGAAAATTTCTAGTGTCGCTCTACCTGCCTTCCTTGCTTCCGTGCATAGCGTAAATAATTTATGTAATAACATCCTTAATCACGATTCAGAACTTTCCTATGCAGTGGAGGCAAGGATGTTTTGGCTGTCTTTCTGCTCCAACGAAAATATCCCACTGGAAGTAAACCTACAAAAACACTGGGATGTTCCTTTGGTGCGGAGAGTACCGATTTGTCAACCACACCAATGCCCTTGTGGTGTCAGTGTGGACAAATTTGGTCTCCACGGGCTTTCTTGTTAAAAAAGTGCTGGCCGTTTTTCCCGCCACGGTTCCCTGAACGACATCATCCGTAGGGCTCTTGTTTCCATCAATGTTCTATCTATTTTAGAGCCCTGTGGTATTTTTCGCGACGATGGTAAGAGACCCGATGGTATAACATTGGTCCCTTGGGAGAGAGGCAAAGCCCTTGTTTGGGACGCTGCTTGTGTAGGCACTTTGGCTGCCTCTCATTTAAGGGGTACTTTGGTCACGGCCGGGGCGGCATCGAAGGCATCTGAAGTAAGTAAATGGCGCACATATGAGTCTTTATGTTTAGATTACGTATTTGTGCCATTTGCTGTTAAAACGGACCTAAAGTCCGTGGGGTCCCCGCAAATCAATTTTTTAAAAAAGTTAATGTCCTAGGCTTAACGCCGCCGCTGGTGACATTGTTCTTTTCTCGCTCAAAGGTTAAGCATAACTATTCAGCGAGGAAATGCAGCTAGCGTTCTTGGCACCATGCCGCGTGGATTAGGTTTATTACATAATATGTAATTTTAGATAGATTTAATCTTGTAAATATTAGATCAATAAAGATTGTACTCTAAAAAAAATTATGTAAAATTACATTCATATAATATTAACATAAAGCTCAAGCAAAATAATTATTATGACCTCTAGGTATATTATGATTCAACTGATATATTACAGCTGTGGTAGGTCCTCACAAGAATGTTATAACTGTGGTAGGGCCAAGCAAGTCTGTTATGTTCATCTGTTGCCTGATGTACAAATGCGTAGGTCTGCCAGGGAAGTACCACAACCTCACAGAAGACTGGCTTGAAGTGGAAGTGGCTATGGGAAATGTTCTCAGAAAATGCAAACATGAATAATGTTATTGAATAACATTCAATAATACAATGTCATCGAAGAAATGTGACTGCTAAGTGCAATTTTTTCAGTAAAAAATTGATATATTAAATTCTAATTACATTTATGTCTTAGAATATCTCATAATATACATGTAAATTGTACTATTGAATGTAGATCCTTATAATGATTATGTTCTTCATGTTTGCATTTTCTGAGAGCATTTACAATAGTAACGTATATTTTTTTTATACCATATGAAAGTTGAGACAAAAAGCCCACCGACTTTTTTTTAAAAAGCTGATATTTTGACGCGAGAATTTTCGATTGAAAATTAGGGTGATTTTTCGATATTGAGTTAAAATTAGGTGAAAAAATGAAAATTTCAAATCAAATAAATTACAGTGTATTTGGGACATAAAATAACATTTCAAGTTTTCATCAAGTTTTCACTAAATTTCGTGAAAAAACATTTTTGTAAAAGATAAAAATAAAAAACCATAAAATTGGTTATTTGAATTTTTCACATAAATTTTGAGGTTATGTGAAAACAGTGTACTACAAAAGTTGTAGATCTTATTACCTACAACTTTGTTTTTTAACTTGCATAGTTTTGCTACTTGGTCATCGCACATAGATGGAGTTAAATAAAATAAGGGCCGGCGCACATTGTCTCATACTTTATGATGCGCAAAGCCTCTAGAGCAGGGGTGAGCAACCTTTTTAATCAATGGGCCAATTTAAATTTCAATTTTTTTTAGCGGGCCGCACATAATAATTAACGAATATTTATTTATAATAAATATTAGAATAAAAAATATAAAATTAAAAAAAAGTAAAGATTTCATATACAAATTTTAATGCAATGTAAAAACAAACAAGAAAAGAACAGAAAAACGAACAAAAATATTTCGGTTCAGTATGTACTACCATTTTATTATAATTAATTTTATAACAATATATTGATAGGAGAAATTCGATAAAATAAATTCAATTTTAGAAATGCTTGGCGGGCCGCATAAATATGTTTAAGGGGCCGCAAGCGGCCTGCGGGCCGCGGGTTGCTCATCCATGCTCTAGAGTATAGACTTATTCAAAGACACTAACTGCGATGCTCCTCAACTATAAGTAAAACAATCATTGCGGTATTTCCCGTTATTCATAACTGATCCTAATAATATTTACATCTCTATAAACGTGTGTAAAATAAAAAGCTTTTGACAGTGTGCGCCTGCCGCATTAGCTTTTTAGCCATGCCTCGTTTCCATAAGAACATAGAGATTGTTACGTCACAGGTTCTGCATCTGAGATCTTTACAAATTCGTAGGTATATTAATGTGAAAGTCTCGCTGCCCGCTGGGCCATAAATATTTAATCTAGAGTAGTACCTAAACTTGGCTAGGTTCGCTACATTTAGTTATAACAATAACTACATAGATAACAGATTTTAATATCCAGTGACTTGATGATTGAGTGATTCAAATTTACACAAAATTTCAAATTGATTTCGTAGAAGTAGAAACTTTCTCTATGATATAGAAGTGTTATAACCCATAACTACAGCCACTTTACACACGCCGGTCATCTGAGAGGTCATGGTGTAGGATCCGTAGCTCAAATGAAAGAAGTAGTGGACTGTATAAATGTATTGCGATATTTTAAGATATAAAAGTATTAAGACCGAACAG